ACCAACGTATTATAATTTTTATAATTTTGTCGTTATAATTTTTTCTTTTAGAAAAGTCTGAAAGAGAGATACGACCACCGGAAAGAAGTCATACTTCTCGACACTCGCGATGAGCGGAACAATTTACGTTTTCAGGATTTTAAGAAAGTCAATGACTACAACTCTGTCATGATTAGAATTATTTCACAACTACAATTTTGTGGAGTAAATATCACATATGGTGAAATGCTAGAGAAAACCTACTCCACTTTCCAGGCATCTCACATTACCTAGCAATAACAATACCGTTTACGCGATTATAAGAAATTTTCTAAGATAATCTTAGCTCTTCTTGTGGCAGAGAAAAACTACGAATCGTTGATTAAAAATTATCAGTCTCGTCCCACTTGTTCAACAACATTTCTAGAAGCAAATGCTGCATTCTCTAAAAATTCAGGACGAGGGCAAAATTGTGGTCGTGGTCGTGGTCTTGGTCAAGGACGTGGTATAAGTGGTTATTACAACCCTTCACAAAATGACGTGATCCAGAAGAAGCGTCATGACAAAAGAAAAGATGTTGATGCAAGTTGTTCTCGGAATCTTGAAAATTCCAGTTATAGATGCAGTACTAAAGGATGTTGGTCTAGAATTTGTTGAACACCGGACCATCTTTGTAAACTTTACAAGGCATCCTTGAAGGAGAAAGAAAAGGAAGTAAATTTTAATGAACACCACGATCTTATAAATGACTCAACCTATCTTGATGTCTCAGATTGCACATATGACTTTATAGATAAGATTATTGATGATAACTAGATAGATATATCATGCTCTTATGTATTTACATTACATTTTGTTTTTATATTGAGTCTGTTCTATATATGTTGTACTTATTTACATAAAATCCCATGTTATGTATTTTCTATATTATTATTATTTTTGTGTGAAGCTTTATATGGATGGAGCTAAGTTTAAAGTTAATACCGGGGATATATGTATTCCAGATAGTGGTACAACACACACTATCCTAAAATCTAAAAAGTACTTCTTTGGTTTAAAACTAGTAAAGACAATAATCAATACAATATCAGGTATTGTAGATCTGGTTGAGGGGACTGGTAGAGCAAGTTTTGTATTGCCAAATGGAATAAAATTTTCCATAAATGATGCTTTGTTTTCACCAAAGTCCAAAAGAAATTTGTTGAGTTTCAAAGACATATATTTTCATGGATATGATACACAATCTGAAACTGAAGGAAACGAGAAATATATGTATATAACTACTAATGTATTAGGAAAGAAGTACATATTAGAAAAATTTCTAAAACTCTCTTTGGGATTACATTACACATATATAATTGTGATAAAGTCACACATTGTAGTTAAAGAAGATCCCCAAATATTAACCCCATGGCTTGACCGTTTGGGTTATCCTGGTTCAACAATGATGTGAAGAATTGTGGAAAGTTCACATGGACATCCATTACATAATCTGAAACTGAAGGGAATGAGAAATATATGTATTTAACTACTAACATATCAGGAAATAAGTAAATATTAGAAAAACTTCTAAACCTCTCTTTGGGATTACATTACACATATATAAATGTGATAGAGTCACACATGGTAGTTAAAGAAGATCCCTAAATATTAACCTTATGGCTTGACCATTTGGGTCATCCTGGTTCAACAATGATGCAAAGAATCATAGAAAGTTCACATAGACATCCATTAAAAGGCCAGCAGATCTTTCAAATAAATAAAGTTCCATGTGAAGCTTATTCTCTTGGTAAACTGATCACATGACCTTCACTAGTCAAAATTAAAACATAAACACATATATTTCTTGAATGTATTCAAGGTGATATATGTGGACCTATATACCCACCGTGCGGACCATTTCAATATTTTATGGTATTAATAAATGCATCTAATATATGGTCACATGTTTGCTTATTATCAACACAGAATGTGGCATTTACGAGATTTTTTACTCAGATAATTAAATTACGAGCTTAATTTCTGGATTATACAATCAAGAAAGTTAGACTTGATAATGCTGGTGAATTCACATCTCAAGTATTTAATGATTATTGTATGTCCGTTGGAATTATTGTCAAACATCATGTTGCTCACGTGCATACACAAAATGGTTTGGCTGAATCATTAATTAAACGCCTTCAGCTTATTGATAGACCATTAATAATGAGAACAAAACTATCTATTTCTGTATGGGGTCATGCAATTTTAGATGTTGCGGCATTAATTTGCATAAGACCAAGTACTTATAATAAGCACCCCCATTTACAACTGGCATTTGGTCAAGAACAAAATATCTCTCATCTAAGAATTTTTAGTATAATTGCTTAAGCGAATATTTGTCAAACGAAGAATATGTGAATAATCTCATATGCCCATGTGTTTTTATTAAGGGAACAATATCTGGTTTTGTTATAATCACTGTTTATGTTTATGATTTGAACATCATTGGAACTCATAAAGAAATTCAAGAAGTTGTGACATACTTAAAAGATAAATTTAAAATAAAAGACCTTGGAAAAACGAAAAATTGTCTTGATTTACAAATTGAGCACCTTTAAAGTGGAATACTTCTGCATCAATTAAACTATATTAAAAAGGTCTTAAAACACTTTTAGATCATTTAATGTTGAAAAGGATCAATTTCGCCCTTGCGAAGGTAATAAAAAAGTCCTCGGTCCTGAAGTACTATATTTAAGTGCAATATGAGCTCTTATGTATCTTACTAATTGCATCCGACTAGATATAGCTTTTATCACTAATCTATTAATAAGATTTAGCTCATCTTCTACACGAAGACATTTGAATGAAATTAAGCATATTCCGTTATCTTTAAGGAACATTTGATTTGGGATTGTTTTATCCTAAAGGATCAAAACAAGGGTTGATTGGTTTTACAGATGTAGAATATTTGTCAGATCCACATAAAGCCAGGTCTCAAACTGGATACGTGTTCACATGTGGAGGTACTGTTGTTTCATGGCATTCACAAAAGTAAACACTTGTTGCCGCTTCTTCAAATCATGCCGGAGTTATTGCAATCCATGAAGCAAGTCGAGAATGTGTATGACTGAGGTATATAACTCAACATATCCAAGAAACTTGCGGACTATCTATCAGTAAAGATCCAACAGTATTATTTGAAGACAATGCAGCATATGTCCTTCAAATAGAGCAAAGTTACGTCAAAAGTGACAGAACCAAACACATACCCCTGAAGTTGTTCTCATACTCCTAAGAGCTCGAAAAGAATAAGGATATTAATATTCAATACATTTGATCAAGTGACAATGCAACAGATCTTTCTACAAAGGCACTTCCCACTACAATATTCAGAAAGCATATCCACAGTATCGGGATGCGTCATATGCGAGATTTATAAGGAAGACCTATACATGTCAACTTGAGGGGGAGTTTACCTGATTGTACTCTTTTTTCCTTATTATGGTTTTATCCTATTGAGTTTTCCTGATAAGGTTTTTAACGAGACAACATAAACATGTATAGATAAATGATGTACTCTTTTTTCCTTTGCTATGGTTTTTATTCCATTAGGTTTTTCCTAAAAAGATTTTTAATGAGACATCATGAATGGTGGACATCTAAGAGAGAGTGTTATGAATAATAGCTGTCCACCTCAGTCAAAATTACTATACAAGTTAATCAAAGTTACTATTTATGTCAGAATTTTACTGTACAAATAGTAATCGTAAATAATAAGTACTGTGTAAATAGTAGCCGCGAATAGTATCAAAAATTTTCTTATAAATAAAGCTCTAAAACTCTTTATTTTATATATTTTTATAAGATTAATAAAACTCACTCTAATTTCTCTCTTTAAAATTTTTCTTTTTAATTTTACATTTTCTTAATTTTGTTTGTATTTTTTTTTATTTTTTTCTAATGAACGTGATTTTGTACTTGAAAAGCAAGATTCAAATGGCCGCTACCGACACAAATTCTTGTAACCCGTTTAGTTCATGGATTAGAACAATGAGATTAGAATTATTTTTGATTTACATGTATTTTTTGTGAGAAAATACTGTAATAAACTATGAACCATAATTCAAATTAGAGAACAAATCCTCCAACCAAACGGACTCTTGAATCTTAAATCATATTTTTCCCAACCAATCCTTAATCAAATCACAATCTCAAAAACATAATTGTCCTTCCATTCATGTTCTATTATAATAATATAATACTTGCTGCATTATTTCCGCAACAAAGTTTTTGGGCCGCGAATGAAAATGAAAAGTTTCATGACATGACGTGGCGCGTTTTTGGAAGCTTAATTTTTTTTTTGGTAAGAAGAAAACTAGAAAAGTGTCATTTTTCTATTTTGGCACATTTTAATTTAATTTATGTCGGACAGTTTCATCAGAAACCAAACCGCCTATCAACACTGCGAGTAACTGTGTATTTCTGCGGAGAGACTTCTCTCTGCAATCGCCGGTAGGGATTCTCCACGACGTCGTTTTCCTCCCTCTGCTTTTCCTGCGAAGATTCTGGAACCTTCTTCCTCCAAGGTTTGGCTGTCTTATCTTCTTCTCTTTCAAGCCTTTATCCCTTTGTTTCTGCCCGAATTGGAAACGCAGTTTTTTTTTTTATTTTTTTATTTTTGATAACCTGTTTTCTCATCATTTTTCGTCCTCAATTTATCTTCATGATCGAAATTGAAGCTTGTGATTTTGTCGAAATCGAAGTTTCTGATTTGTTTCGCGGTTTCCATGCTCTGTTTTTGTTTATAGGAAGAGAAAATTATTCAATTTTCTGTATTGTTGTTTGTTTTTTTTTTTTGGATTTCGCAAATGTTGTGTTCAAATGAATTCAGAAAGGTGTTTGTAATTTAGAATCAAGAGATCAATTCATAGTGGAAAAGTTATTTTTGAACTCCAAAATTCCTTCTTTTTTCTTTTGTTCCAGGAAATATTCCTTTATTTTGAAGCGTTAACGACGACCAGTGAAAATGCCGGCGACGCAGTTCAGCGGCCGTACACTCTCTAATGGAATAACGGCAAGTAGATTCAGCAAAAGCAGCCAAACGGCGGAGAAATTCAAGCCGATTTCTTCACTGAACAGAGGGAATACTGGTAATCTCGTTGCGCTTGCTGGTAGAAAGAGCTTAGGCTTAGGGGGTTTCGATTTGTCCGAAAGACACAGGAAATTGTTCAAACCACTGATCACCCATCGAAGAAAGAACTGCTGCAATGTGGTGGGAAATCAGTGGAGTTCAGATGGTGGGGTGACTTCTTCTGGCGTTGAGGAAAGATTGGCTCTACAAGAAGAGCATGATGTCAACGGATCGGGGAACGGCGCTCCGTAAGAGTACAACCTTGATATATCTCTAGTTGTTTTGACAGTTTCTTGAGTGCTTTTCCTTGGGCACCAATTGTTCTTCTGTTTTTGTTATAGTGAGTTGACAGAGATTCTTAGCCATCGGTCGCAGTCTCCGGATGTGAAGCGTGAGCTTTTGATGCTCTCTATACCTGCAATTGCGGGACAGGCTTTTGATCCCTTGGCTCAGCTTATGGAGACCGCTTACATTGGTAGATTAGGTATATAATGACCATTTCAGTTCTTGCGGATTGGAGTTAGTTGCTAACTATTGATGCTCCTTCAAGTAGAATATTGAGAAAGGAACATGTATAGATATAAAAAAATCCATTTCAGGTTATCTTTTGACTAATTCTTATGTTCTAAAACTTTTTCTGAAGGCTCTCTGGAGTTGGGTTCAGCTGGTGTTTCTGTGAACATCTTTAACTATATCTCAAAGCTATTTAATATTCCTCTTCTCAGCGTTGCCACTTCTTTTGTGGCTGAAGATATTTCAAAGAATGAAATTACTACTTCAGGTGGGTTTGAAATTTTATCGTCCCTGCTGCTGATAAATAGATTTGTAGATTTGGGGTTTAAGAGTGTGTCTGACTGCTCTTGTGTTGTTTCTCAGAGAAGCATTCTTTAGAAGACAGGAGCAATGGTAGGCCTTTTGATGGGATATCTGAGAGAATGCAACTACCTTCGGTGTCTACAGCTTTACTGTTAGCAGTTATGATTGGCGTTTTTGAGGCATTAGCCCTGTCTCTGGGGTCTGGATTATTTTTAAATATCATGGGGATATCACCAGTAAGTCCCTATGTACTCATTCTGCGTCATTTACTTAATCTTCTTCTCTGCACGTACATTTGCATACAAGTGTGCATTTGTGTTCCACCTCCAGAGAATCATAATCTTAATGCCAGGGATGAATATCACAAGGGAGGTACATGTTTTAATGCACGGACGTAGATGTATTTGGATCCTTCTAGGTACTATTTATACATTTTGTTGATGTAGTGCACTTGTAATTAGCTTAATTTGGTACTATAATTCTTTTAAGCTCGGGGATTCTTTTGCTTGCTTTTTCATAGGCGTTGTGGTCTTCATTCCATTTTCTTCTTGCAAGTGTATAAATCTCAATGTTAGAAGGATTTTAGTTCTGAATTTGACTCTTTTTAACAGGATTCACCCATGCGTGTTCCAGCTCAACATTTTCTTTCACTAAGGGCACTTGGTGCTCCCGCAGTTGTAGTCTCTTTGGCTCTTCAAGGAGTTTTCCGTGGGTTTAAGGATACCAAAACTCCTGTTTTTTGTCTAGGTAAGCGTTTGATTTTTTTTTTTTAAATTTTTTTAGGTGAGAAAATATGTTATGATTGGTTGTGTAGTTGTCATCATATTCTTCTGGATTTGGTCAAACTAGAGTCATCCGTCATGCTAATTCACTTGCTGTTGTGCTTGCAGGTATAGGTAATCTATTGGCAGTGATATTGTTTCCCATACTCATGTATTCTTTTCGGTTGGGTGCGACTGGTGCAGCCCTTTCCACTGTTGTGTCTCAGTATGTGTTCTTTGGGAGCTTTATATATACTTCCACGGTTTTTTTTTTTGTTTTTTGTTTTTTGTTTTTTTTGGAAATTATTGAATGCCATATGATCACGCTCAACTTTTTATGTTTCAGATATGCCGTCACCTTTCTAATGTTATGGTATCTAAACAAGAGAGCAATACTGCTGCCCCCAAAGATGGGATCCTTGCAATTTGGAGGATACATGAAATCAGGTAATTTTTTATTTTCATTCATGATAGTTGCACTTTTCGTATCAGTTTTAAATGGTTATATGGTCGAAGTTCTGTCTTTGCATGGAGAATTATGTGACATTGTCTAAATATATTTTCTTTTGATAAGCAAACTTGTTGCCTAAATAATTGACTTTAGCTTACCCACAAGAGTCCATATATATGAATGCTATATTCCCTTTGTTTGCTTCTCTTAGCAGTATCATTATCTTTTGCTCTGCTGCAAATACATGTTACCGTTTCTCTCCCCCTTATTGTATAAAGACTCTATTAATAAATTCTTTACTAATTTGGGATGTTATAGGTGGTTTTCTTCTTGTAAGAACTCTTGCTGTTCTTTCAACCATGACACTGGGGACATCAATGGCTGTTCATGAAGGCCCGGTAGGTATGGCTGCTCATCAGATATGCATACAAGTATGGTTGGCTGTGTCCCTTTTGGTTGATGCTCTGGGTGCATCTGCTCAGGTATGATCTCTTTCTTTGAATTATATAGTTAATTCTACATGCTTGTTCGATGTTATGATCCCTTTCAGTTTCAATTTGTTTTATAATTAATTCTACATGCTTGTGGTTGAATCAAAATACAATCAACAAAATGAAGATTTTCTCAGCACTAGGAAGAGAACAGGAATTTGTTGCTGAAAATACAAATAAGGGGAAAAGTTTAATTGGCTTCTTAAACAGAAGTTTACAGTGTTATAGAATAGGAAAAGTGCGCTTGCTTGCTCCTACCTATCAAAATTTGAGATATTTTAGCGTTCAGATAATATTGCATTTTTTCTCTCTGCTGCGTCAGCACGTGTCTGCTCATGGTATGTTTTGTCGACTTACAAGTTTTATTTGCTCGTAGGCTCTCACTGCAAGTTATATGTCCAAAGGTGACTATAAGAATGTAAAAGAAATCACTCACTACGCTCTGAAGGTCAGCTTTCTTTCTTCCTCCTACCCCTAATCCTTAAGCATTGGTTTTGATTTTTCTGACACCTCGGGATTCTTAAAGATTTTAGCAATATTTTTGCTTCTTTTCTGTTTTCTTATTTCAAATGTCTTTCAGGTAGGATTGATCACAGGTGTTTCCTTGAGTGCAATACTGGGCGTGTCTTTTGGTTCATTAGCTACCTTGTTCACCAAGGACCCTGAAGTACTAGGAATTGTTAGAACTGGAGTGTTGGTATGCGAATATAATTGTTCAGAAATTTATTTGGTTATCATATGCTTTTTTCCTTAATTGTCAATGTATGTAGATCTCATAACCACATCGCTCAAACTGTTACAGTTTGTGAGTGCCAGTCAACCTCTTAATGCGCTAGCTTATGTTTTTGATGGTCTCCATTACGGTGTTTCGGATTTTGCATATGCTGCTCGTGCTATGGTAAGCTGAACCATTGAAAATCACCTTTTCAGAAATATTCTTGTTTCAGAACTGAGAGTTGCGCAGATGACTTATCTTAACAATTGTGTTGTTCGATTGATAGATGGTGGTGGGAGCAATATCTTCTGCGTTTTTGTTATATACTCCTTCGATTATTGGTCTTCCTGGGGTTTGGTTGGGCTTGACTCTCTTCATGGGTTTGCGCGTAGTGGCAGGCTTTTACAGGTAAAAGTATACAATGCAAGAAAAGTTTTCATTCACTGAATGCTGTTAAGAAAATTTTCGGTCCTATTACCCATCTTATCACTGATTTTCCCCTTAAACAACGTTAGGAAAATATAATTATATAAAAATCTTGTATTTCCATTTCAGTATTGCCAGCCAGATATTTTTAAATTAAGTCTGTTTAGCTCTACTACTGATCTATTATTGGGCTAACATCTTAGACAATTAGCTGCGCAATATTCAACATGCTTGCTTACATTTTGTCTCTGACGATATCACCATGATCGTTATTATTTTTTCTCTTACTCTTTTTCTTTTTTTTTTTTTTTTCCCTCTTGTTATCAATAATATCATCATGATAATCATTTTTGTGTTTCTTCTTTTCAGATTGCTGTCAAGAAATGGACCTTGGTGGTTCCTTCATAGTGACTTTCAGAGAGTTGAGGTTGGTATCTTTTCATAGTTTTTTAACTTTTTAGGCTGAGAGTTTGATAGCTAGCTGATCAATTAGCATTAGAAAATTGTTTTCAGCATCTTCTCTTTTTTTACATTTTTCTTCGTCTTCTTGATCTGCTGATTACAACTGTCCAAAATTACACACCTGAACTGCGAAACTTCCATATCCTTTTGGTTTATCGTGGCATCGACTCATCTTTATATTTATATATTTTATTTATTTTTAATTAACAGTTCCTGAACTGGGTATCTGACTTTAGAAACGCCCTCTTTTTTCTCAGCTGGCCAGTTGATATGGGAAAATTCTGAAGGTGATTGAGATATATCAAGCTAGTATTATGCCCAAACTTGAATGAGGTCTCGGGTGTACAGTTTCCCACTGATGTATTCTTGTCAGGAGTTTTCTTTTTCCCCTTTCAAAATTTTTTTCTTTACGTGCAATTGGTATCAGCTGTTAGAACAACAAGATGAAAAGCAATTTTTTTTTTTTTCTCTTATTTTGACAAAGGGGAAACACCTGTTATTTTTTTAGTTATTGTTTAATGGTAAATGCTGAATTATATTATATCAATAAGCATAGAGATGCATTTTAACTGTATTCTTTAAGACATGCTTGTGAGAAACGTTTTCCATTTTCAGTGATGAAGCTTGAAAAGAGCTCGAATGTTTACCTTTTCTGAAGAAGTTGATGCAACTTTTGTTAAATTCTCATTGTTTGCTCCCCCTTCTTTTCTTGGTGAGGGGCGGTTCACACGAGTTTTGAGCATGAAAGATGAATTACAATTATCTTTCATGCTTCTAAGGCCTGGTTTATTACAAAGTTTAATCACATTCTGCAATAGCCGGTACATAGAGAATACAAGGGACAGACCGAAACAAACTCACTCTTTAACAACTCTCAAGGGGAAACATAATCTGTTGGTCCATAAGGCTCAAACAATTCAGCAAAGAATCCTTTCTTCCTTTTGGGGTTCCATCCCATGTCCTTGCACAATTGGTCGTTGTACCATATGTGAAGGGCTCCTATGCATGATCTCCTGTAGTACTGAGCCGAGTATCGCTTCATGTACTCGTCCCATTCGCCCACATCCTTCTCCATTTCTTTAATGCGCGGTAGCTTAAATGACCCCGCCAAAAGCTCCGCTAGCCACCGGCATCTCATCTCTGAGGTGTACAAGTTTGAAACACTTTCTGAGAATCCGATCACTGCTAGTTGTGGAATTTGTGGATGAATGCATTCCCTGAAAAGAAAAAAAGAAAAAAATAAAAAAAATACCAGCATATTCACAACAGAATTAGTGGGCCTTGTTGACCTGAATCTGATTTACTTTCCTTTCGTCCTTGTTTCTTTTATGATCTTAAAAAGTATTCTGATTTTCTTCTAGGAAAAAAGGTAACCTGTAGAGAGGTACTGCTGCATTGGGAGGCCCAACAATGTAGTCCTGAAAAGTGGGAGACACAAACATGTCTTTGAGCTTTTTGTCACCCTTGAAACCGGTGGCCAATATGACCAAATCTGTCTTCCATGGGGTGTCTTCTCCTTCAATCAAAATACCTTCTTTACAGAAGCCGAAACTCGGAGATTTCTTCAGAACAAGGCTTCCCTCCTCAACTCTGTCATAGAATTTTGCGGGCACTGTTGAGATCAAACAAGCATTGATATCTTGGAGAAAGCTGTGCTCCGGTACCATTCCATACTTGGCCAGTTGATGCTTGTGTTTTATGTGACTCTCTACGAATTTTGAGAATGCCCATCTCTGTTGCATTGTAAAGTATCATTTAATTACACATTTCCCTGCCTATATATATGTATATTTGTGTGTTCTTGTAGGAAAAAAAAAAAGACCAGACAATTGCCCTGCCTATATATATGTATATTTGTGTGTTCTTGTAGGAAAAAAAAAAAAGACCAGACAATTGAAAAAAAAAAAAAGTGTTTACCACAGGTGAAAGTACGGTTGCCAGGACGCTGTGTAGAAAACCTTGGCCAGGCTTATGAACGAGTAACTCGGAAAATCGATTCAGGTACAGGAAAGCTAAAGGGAATCCCCATGGGAGGTAATCTGGAAGATTCCAGTGTCTGGTTTTGTATAGCACAGTGCATGGATTTTCAGCCCCTGCAAATCAACTTCTGTTGTATAATGCAATTTGTTTTTTTCTTTTTAAATATATCTTACCACCATGTCTTGTAATATTACCAACAAAAGCTTAAACTGATAGAAAATGAATCAATATTAGATTTGTGTTCGACACAAAAAAAAAAAAAGATGAATAAAAGCCCGAGATTATTACCATTTGCGTTGGAGCACTCCATCGCGATATCGAGAGCAGATTTCTGAAAGCCAACAACCGTAACTTGTTTGCCTTTGACAAGTTGAGCGGCGCTTTTGTAGTCCATGGCAGCATAGTCCATGGAGTGGATGGCCGTGCCACCAAATACTTGAGGGCCCTTATTTGGAGGGAATTCTGGGATGTTTGGTATGTCACTGAATCTTCCAATGCAAAGGATCACAAAGTCCACCACATAGACCTGCATTCAACAACGTGCTTATTATGATCTATTCATGATCATAAGATTTTTTATTTTTCTTTCTGAGAGAAAAAGGGATGATTGGTATCATCCTGTCCCCATCTTTTTTGTTATTTTAGAAATACGGACCTTACTCAATTCTACTTAAATGATGGGTTCAATTTTTACACAAACTACCGTACATTTAATGTCGCCCAACACATTAACTGAATAGGAGTCCTAAAGTGGAGCTATGGAGCATCGGATCATAAGCTTATCTTGAAAAGAGGAAAAAGAAAGACATCTTTTACTACTACAACTAACCCATTGATGGTTTATTGGCAATTTTGGCAACCTGACTCGTTCAATTTGTTGAGTTGAAGAAGCTGGAGCAGTTGGGTTTCCGTAAGAGGAATGATCTTGTTATAATACTCGTATTTTTGACAAAATTGCTAAAAGTGCTTTCATTGGAAAGTGGTAACCCACCAAACTATCTGATAGATACCAATACAAACTTTTCCAGCTTCAGAGCATTTATCGGCCACACAGAAAAGAAAAAGGCCACTTTCTGACATGACTCGCTCAATATATTTCCTTTCGTATTTCATTTCCACACGAAAAGGTTACTTCCTTGAGTCAATACGCTACCCATTTATGCGAAGAAAATGATGGAATTTCTATTGTACAAACTATTATTTATAAATCGGCTATCAAAAAAATTAATTCAATAGTTAAAATAGCAGTACTTATTAATAATAAAAATAATATTTTTAAGAAGTGAATTGTTTTAAACAAAAAAAAAAAATATAGAGCGGAACCTTTTAAGTAGGAAAAACTTATTGATAATGATATCTGGTTAAAATTAGGTGATTATAAAAACAGCGCCTATAGGTAAGGCATATTCTCACACTCTATCATGAGATTTTCCACAAAACAAATTAAAGAGGAAAACATAAACGATTTTTGCCTTTTGGTGCACATTTTAAAAACTACTTTGATTGTTTTAGAAAACCAAAAACAAGTCAAGAAAGAAGTACAATTTGCCAAATTAGATTTTTAAAATATTCGGTAAGATAAAAACAGAAAATGACTGAATCAAATAGCTATCCTTCTAAGGAAATTAAAGAAATATGTAGTAATTATATACTACATTAACAAAAAAGACAGATTTTTGTTGATTAAATACCCAAATCTCACCTTTAACCTCAAATCTCACCTTACTGCCTCGACTAAAATTGTATTTTTTTTATGTTTCTATTTTTCTAATCATTGCCGATTCTGAACTTATCTCTATAAAAATGCAATACGGTCTAACAAGAAAATTTTATTTAAATAATGATATGGGTTTTACATGAAGAAGATTTGAAGGGTAGGAGAAGAGCCCGGCTTGGTATTTTTAAAAAAAAAAAAAAAAAAAAAAAAAAAAAAAAGAGAAATCAAAACCAAATCATGATAATACGATCAACTCTTTCTTCTTCTGCCAATAATATTGGATCAGAATCTTAATTAATTAATTAGTTACCTGATCATTGGAAAGGCCTTGTGTGTCCTCCGCAACAAGTTTCCATTTGCCATTAGAAGTACTAAAAGGCTGTCCATTGCCACCCCAATGACTCCAAGATCGCATCTCCTCCTCGGACGGCCCTTGATACTCAATGCTAGAAACATTGGTGTTGAACTTTATGTGCTTAAGCAAGTCGAAATGTTGAGCATAGGACTCAACATAATCAAATACTTGGTGCTGGTCAGGAAAGTCCTCCGTCACCGAAGACGGCCACGGGAAATCGGAGAATTGTAGAGCGGTTTCGGGGTCTGCAGCCTCGTCGTCTCGATGGTTTTAGTCCAGACGCCTCCGACGCCGCTCCGGGACTCGAAAACGATCGGTCGGAAGCCCTTTGAGCGGACGTATTTGCAGGCCAGGAGGCCGCTGATTCCAGCTCCTAGAATGCCCACCTGCCTCTCCATGTTGTTGTCCTTTTGGGGGGTGTGGCCCTCAAATATATGATGATCACTTATCGTCTATAATTACAGTGTGTCTATTTGTGTTGCGGTTGTTCTTTCGTAATAAAACTCAGAAAAAGTTTAAACTTAAATTATAATTTTATTTAAATTCATGTTCTTTCATAAAATTTGAGTTTAAATTTGAGCTTGAACTCGAGTTTGAACTTAAATTTAGGGCTAAACTCGAGTTTAAGAGATTATTTGGTTGGAAGATTCATCCCCTGATTCGAATCATAATTCATAATTCGCTACAGTATTTTCTCTCATAAAAAAAACACGTAAATTGAAAATGGTTCTAATCACATGGTTCTAATCCATGAACCAAACGTCTCCTGTTTTTCTTTCAACTCGAGTTCATAAACTCTAACTCAAGTTAATGAGCAATATTTTTTTATTTTTAAAAATGTCATAACTTTTTCGTTTTAATTTCGATTGAGATGATTTTTGTTTCTATGCATTCACAACGAAAAGATGAATAAAACTTCACCCATATACCCTATTAAAAATTTTCATTACCATTGAGTTTTTATTAAAATACTATCTAAATACAAATTCAAGTTTTGATTCAACCAAACACAAACTCAAAAAGGTTCTCAATTCAAATCATAACTCAAATATGCACATCCAAACACAAACTCAAGTTATAATTTCAACTCAAATTATAACTTCAACTCAAGTTATAACTCAAACTCAACTCAAAATTATCATTCAAGTCACTCTAACTAAAAAATGTAAAAGAACAACTCTTTTGTTTCTCGCTTTCTCCGCAGTTTTTGACGACAACTTTTTTTTAGTGTGATGATGGCGGATGAGAAACGGCATTATTCGGATGTGAGACGACTCATCCTATATATTGTATAATTTGTATGTAATGAGATTTTGAGTTAGGATATGAAAAAATAAAATCTATTATTATTGCTTTGTTTATACCATAAAAAACCTAACACATATTTGATGGAATTTTGGTTAGACTAACCTTTAAAAGTATGCATTAACACAGGGTGAACCTGCCATAAAAAGCTCGACAATATATTATATAGATACAATAAACAAGTTACATTTTTGTTTAGAACAGTATTTATTTCAAGTTATTTGATAATTTTATTAAATGAAATGTTATTTTTATTAATATGTTTATTTACGAAATTTGTATTTTATTAGAGAAAATTTGATAATTCTTTTCTCATATCAGCGCTAAAAAAAATTCAACAATTGATTCATTTGAGATTAATTAGTATTACTCTTTGTTTTGTCTTCTACCGATCATTATGCAAAGTTCTCTGTCCTAGACATGAAGTGTATTTTGGTTTGCCTTCCGACTTTAGAAGAGACCGGTGATAATTATGTTTGGCTATAGCAAGTGAATAGATTGACGCCAAAGCTTGATATATAAAAAGGCATCTCCACTGCTGCAAAATTAGTATGCTAGTATCAAAATGAATATTAGAGCAGGTCAAATACAATGCTATAATTAATATATTAATGATAAATTTAACATTCAAGTGTAAAAAATATTGTTAGAAGTTTCATTTATGGTGCTAAATTTATCATATATTTAATAGGAAAATTACTTTTTTAAAACATTCTTATTTTTAATGTTTTGATATATGCTATATTTGATTGTAATATTGTCACCAAATATGATATGTAATATAGCATATATTAAATTTTGACATTTAATTGTTATTAGTTAATATATTGAGTTTTTTTTTTTTTTCGTTTACTTATCCCAATATTATCATTGAAATGTGTAGTATTTTTACAAAATTCAAAACTCAATAATTATGACATAAAATAGATAAAACATGTGAAATAGTATTATGTTCTGGAACACAAAATAGAATAACATATTAAGTATGTTGTTTTCACACCATTTTACTGTCAAATATAGCATTTATATTGGTATATTCATTGGATAAGTTCTAAGATAATGCCAACCGTCCAAGAAGAGAAATTAATAAAAGTATTATTTATTTTTATTAGTGATAAGATGACCATGTATATAAACAATACCAGCATGTGGTCGTGTGTACGACACTTTTTTGGTGTTATACAGTATAAGCGTTATATTCATTTATCTAACGTTTTGAAGTGAAGAGACTTGTGTTACTTAGCCCGTGCGTTCCCTTTTATTTCCGTGTGCAAATATTAGAAACATATTACACGCGAAAAATTGAAAATATATATATATATATATATAAATATATATATATTTTGCTAATCTTGGAAATACATTTTTCGTTGCTTAATAATTGCACTTCTGCTGGTGGTTTTCTCCATAGAATAGTAATCGGAAGATGGGGGTTGAGAATACTGCGGAAAACCGAAATGCCTAAATGAGGACAAAATCTATGATGAAAATTGCTGCAATTTCCAATGACATGAAATTTTGAAATGAGGGCCAAGTGTGCGTAAACTGGAAATAGATCAAATTACAGGCTTATGCAACTGTCATTGGAATCACAAAAGAATAAAGTATTGATCATTATTTCCGTTAAAGATTTCGGTGAGCGCCACTTCATAGAGATGAAAAAAAAAGACTTTTTATTGTTTTTTTTTTTTTTTAACTTTTCTTTAAAAATACTGGTGTTTTTTTGTTTATTATTCGTTGTATTTGCATTAAATTTAGTTAAAAATTAAATTAAATTAAAAATAATATAGATTCAACGATTGATAAACAGAAAGCACCAATACTTTAAAAAAAGAAAAAAACATCAGAAAAATTCTTTAAAAAAAAGGAAAAAAAGAAATGAAAAAACAGAAAAACTTTGCATAAAAGAAAAATATTCAGAAAAAAACAGAGTCAAAAGGAGGCCTCGATCGCTGTGCTTTTCTCCATTTATTTTTTCTTTTTTCATTCTCCTTCAATAATGGTGATAAATTGATAATTAATTAACTTGTGACCGTTTCATTGGAATATATATATATATATATATTTGGCATTATAGAGTTGAAGATAATCTAGCAAGAATAATATCATTATTTTTGTTTCTTATTAATTAGTTCGACCATCATTTAATTTGTATAGAGACAATCAGATCATATATCTTTTTACATACGAATTAGCCAAGTAGCCAACTACTTTTAAGAGGGAAGGACTTAATTATATGAGTACTAAACGTACGTGTCATTTTGTAGCTTAAAGCAAAAATATGTAGTTTTTTTTATTTTTTATTTTTTTATTTTTTTTAAGAAAGAAAGAAATAAAAAGATGAACGTGGTGATCTTTGAGTTTTATATCTATTTCTTATAATTTATAGACATAATCCGAGCAAAGAGATTTTTTATTTTATTTTATTGTGCTTAGGAAATGTAAATCTCACTGTTCAAAAATAATAATAATAAAAACCTCCTTTATAGCTAATTTCCAGCTCATACCGATTTATTATATGTTGAAATTAGTTTTTTTTTTTAATTTTTAAGAGGGAAGGACTTAATTGTTTATATGAGTACTAAACGTACGTGTCATTTTGTAGCTTAAAGCAAAAATATGTAGTTTTTTTTTTTTTAAAGAAAGAAAGAAATAAAAAGATGAACGTGGTGATCTTTGAGTTTTATTTAATTTTTAAAGGACACAGTCTTGGATTTTGCAGAGAGTTTCTTGATGACCAACAAGCTATTGTAGTATTTAGCAAAAAAAAAAAAAAAGAAGAAAAAAAAGCTATTGTAGTATTATTTTTAGTCAAGAAATATAATATGAGTTAAAAGGAAATTAAAATGAAGAAGAAAGAAGTTGGAGGTTTCTGTAAATTCAGAGAAAAGTTCTCTGTTCTTTCTATTCCTTCATATCAGTACAAACGAATGTTCATCTATAAAAGCTAATTTACAAGAATTGTCTACTTTACAGAAAGAATAAAAGCTAATAAAAAAGGCTAGAAATAATAAAAAGATTAAATGAGACTTTGTTGAATCGTTTTTTCTTTCCTTTAAAATACGAATCAATGACTTAGATATAAGAAAAATGGGGTAAGTAATGCTGAAATTTGTTCATCTGATTTTTTTCTGTATTAATAAAAGAAAATATATTGTACAATTTTACATGAATGAAAATTGGAAAAGCCAATCTACAAGAAGAGAGAGAGAGAGAGGATCAAACCAATTCCCTTTTATCTTATCTCTCATATAGGGCAATAGAAAGCAAAAAAAAAAAAAAAAAAAAAAGAGAATTCTGTTTATTTTTTTCCCCCCTTTTTTTTTGGCTGAGAGCAAAACAGTGTCATGTTATTTTGTCTGCCTGTGCAAGTGCAAAGTAATCTGGATATCGTTTATTTCACCGATTTGAATTTAAAATTTGAGTTTTCGTACAGTAAAAAGCTCTCAGAAACAGTCACATCTAACTTTTTTACTACAGTAAAAAACTCTTACATAAAATAACATTTCAACTCGAATTAAAAAATTGAATTAACGAACTAAATGGGCTCCTATTATGCCACTAAATTTCAACAGATTTGTATTGTTGATATGGCTTGTAAACAAAAGCATATTTAGGACATCATGCTTTTGACAAGTACTATTATAATGTAAAAGCACGGGCCATCTAAAAGAGTGAAGGCTTTGTTCTACTTCTCTGAGAAGTTGATATGAATGCCTTTTCCAAACCCCAGAACAGGATTTCTAAAAATCTTTCCCCCCTTGATTTTTGTCCACCTAAAAATACATAGAAAAAAAAGTAAAAGTAATCACATATTCAAAAAGTGATTACTCTCTTAATTTACAAAAATCGGCATATATGATCAGGACTGCAACAGTACCTATATTTGGTGAGCAAGACATGGAAAAAAGTAGCCATGAAAACTCTACTGTACTCTGCTCCTGCACATTGCCTCGTTCCTCCTCCGAACGGCAAGAAATTCTTCGATACGACACGCGAATCGAGCTCCTAGTTTTCACTCACAGTATTACAAAAACATAATCAGCTAACAAAAAGTTTTTGTGATTTAATAAGAGAGAGATCATTAAATCCAATATCCGAGAAATGGAAATCATGAAGAGACATAACCTTCCAACGCCACGGATTGAATTCAAGGGGGTTTTCAAATGTATTTGGATTTAGCTGCAGACTGGAGGTGACAAGCATTATTGTCCAACCTGCAGGAATTGTAAATCCTGCAAAGAAATTCAGGAAAAAAAGCAGTTTAAATTCCGTTAAAAATGAAAAGCTCTTAAGGGAATTATGAATGTGAAATTTGAGAGAATACCTTTTGCTGGAATATCTTTTAGTGCTCTACGTAATAGCCCAGGTAATAATAATAATAATAATAATAATAATAATAATAATATGTTTTCCAACGAGTACAACATGTGAATTGAAGGCATTTCAAAAATTACCAATTTGTTAGATGCAAAGGAATTCAGAATTCAGATGTTGTGAATGTAAAACTAACTTGGAGAGTGAAAGTCATCGATTTGTATTCGTCCCATGTGAGTGAAGAATTTGGATCTTCTCTGTTTTTGAGTATTGCTTCGTGCTCAGCCTGATAAATTTGAGAGATTGATCATTAACGGTAAGATTGGTATTTTTTCTTTCAATAGTTTTTTTTTTTTTAATCATAGGAACATAAATTTCTTGTTTTGAAAAAATTTTCGGTTGTCACTTACTTAAATTGAGGTTGTTAAAATTAGGGCCGTGGACTGGGGCCGGCACCCAAAAATATTTGGTACCGGTGCCGTCCAAAGTTTACTTTTGCAATAAGTTACCAAAAATATTTAATATTGCGAGTATAAAAATGAAGATGAAAAGGATATGAACTGATTGTCAAACTTTGTCTGTACTTACCATCATCTCCTTCAATACTGAAGGATGCTCCGAAAGTAACTCAAAAGCCAACGCCATTATTGCTGAAACAGATTCAAACGTAGCAAATAAGCCCCCAAAAATCAGCTGCACTATGAAATCCTCAGATAAGAACTTTTCCTTGTTCATGTCTTTGCAGATCTGATCTAGGAAATCTCCTCGATTCGTCTCAGGCGACGCCCGTCTCTCCTTTATCATATCCCTCAACATGGCTAGTATCTTCTTTTGGCCCTGAGTTTTCATAAGTATCCAAACTATATTTATTTCAAGTTTTCAGACCTAGAAAAGATAAGTTGTTGGCTACAACTTAAAAAAAAAATAATAATAATGTTACCTTTAGACATTGATTGTATGCTGTCCCGGGAATATTCAAGGGAAAAGACATAAAACCTTGCACGATTCCTGTGTATGTCTCGCTTAGGCTTTCAGATGACTTTTCAACATCATAACTGATAATTTGCTTAGCACTGAAATCTATAACCAACTGCAATGTGCAAAAAAAAAAAAAAAAAAAAAAAACACGATTATCATTAAATAATTAAAGTCGAGTGATTAATTATCATTAAATAAGTAAGTTGAAAGTACTTACAACTGAAGCAGCATGTTTGACTTCAACAGAGGCCCGAGTTGACCATTCACTTAGAGTTTTGTTGACCACTTGTTCAATCTCAGGAAGCAATTTCTCCTTGAGCCTCTCAGCACCAAAGTGATTCAGAAACATGCTCCTCGCATACTTGTGGATGACGCCGGCAGCGTTGGTTCGCGATTCGCCTTCCTGAACAAAGATTTTCGAGAAGGTGTCCAAATACCACAGCTCAACCAGCTTCCCTTCTTGCTGAAAAAGGAAACTGTTTAATCCTGGATCAGCTGATACCACAACTGGCCGACCGGCTATACTTGTTCGGAAAATAGGTCCATATCTGAAAGGAAAAAGTGAAAGGTATATGAATATATGACATGTTAAATTCAACATGCACATATTCATTGTAGACTTAAACATTAAAGCATGTAAAAGCTAGTTAAAAAGAATTTTAAATTTTTTAAATGACGTGACATAATTTTATTGATTAAACACCGATTTATACACCGGATAGATAAAATCATAGATGTGAAGTGTGATGATGATCACCTTTGGAGCCGTGTTTTGATGAAGGGATGAAGGTCAAGAGAGTAACTGGGAATGATGAGAGGAAGGGTTTCTCCAATGAGAGGGAATCCCATGGAGCCTGGCGGCAGAACCCCATTGCATTTCGGGTTTCTCCATCTTCTAATCCAATTGCTAATCCATATTACCACTAATCCGACCACACCCAAACCAATGGTGTTCCACATGTTTGTAACTATAGTGTCTGATCCCCAGAGAAATGAATGTCCAGAGTTTGTGAGATCAGCTTGGTATTAGTTAAGTAGTAGTTGGTGGACAAGTAAATTTAACCATTGCCCTGTATAAGTACATACATATATATATACACACACACATTGACACATTATGCAAGTACTGACATGAGTAAGCAAGTGGAACTTTTGAAAATGGGATAAGTCAGCGGCTCCTTGAATAACGGGACTACCGATTTTTTTGTTTTTCCCCATGAGAATATGACAACTTATCGTTCTTATATCAGAATATGTATTGGTTTTAATTATGGTCACAACTCTATGCTTCAGAACTAAGAAATTTGATTCAAAGAAATTAAAAACTAAAAAAATGAAAATGAAAAGCTATATGTTCAACATTTGTAGTTTAGATATACATGGTAAAGTCGACATTGCAACATAATATATATATATATATATATACACACACACACACACATATATAGAAGTCAGTTATCCCGATGCTCCTAAAAAGAAAAGTCAATGATGTTGCTCAAATATAATATTATCAATTGATGGAAGCAAAAATTTACGATTTATTCTGTGGATAAATAATTTTATCCTTGAATTCAGCCATTTTATAAAATAGTTGAACAAATCAGACTGCCCATATTTGATCCACACCTTCATTTATGTACATGTTATCACTTATCAGTTGGGTGGTTGCTCCACGAGCACATATTAAAAAGATAATTTACCACTGATGGTGACATAGCAGTGAAAGACGACTTATTAGGGTTTTATCCCCTATCATTCACTAATCAATTCTCATTATTTATTGTGGAGCTGTAATTATGCTTTTCATCGGTCTGCCAAATATGGTCGAGCTGATGTGATTTTGGACTCCCTCAATACTAGTTGACGAAAGCAAAAGTTAAGGTCATTTTTGTTACACTTATGATCCCAATAGATTGACAAAGGACACCACTAATCCCCTTTTTCATTTAGTCAATGACAATAAAAGACTAAGAGAGAAGATCTTAGAAGACAACAAGGAAAGCGAAAAAGAAAAAAAAAAAAAGGAAGGAAAACAAAAGGCTTCTTAGTTTGTCTTCTCGGAAAACTTTATGTGGACGCCTTTCCCAAATGCCAAAAGAGGATTCCGAGCAATCTCTCCCCCTTTGATCATTGTCCACCTATTGACAACATAAATTTGATAAGTGATTGAGGAAATTAATAAATATCTTCAACAAAACCCTCTTCAATGAGTGTTTTTGTTTTTAGCTTTCGTCTAAAAAAAACAACACAATTATAAATTAAGAGAGAAAAGCAATGTGCTTATAAATTGGTACCTATATTTGGTGAGCAAGATGTGGAAAAATGTGGCCATAAACACTCGGCTGTACTCAGCTCCTACACATTGTCTGGTTCCTCCACCAAAAGGCATGAAATTCTTTGACACAACAAGTGAGTCAAGGTCCTATAGTTTTCCATTAAATATCAGAATTGCGTGATTAGCTACGACGAAGTTTTGCAATCTAATCGGTGATTAAAAAAAAACTATATATTAAAAACAAATTCGGTACTAGATGAAAAATGTCAATGAAATTTAACCTTCCAACGCCATGGATTGAACTCAATAGGATCCTTGAATGTGTTGGGATTTAAGTGAAGGGCATATGGGACAAGCATAATTGTCCAACCTGCCGGAATTGTAAATCCTGGAAGCCATTCACACAAATGTATGTGTATTTGTTAACATATTATGCAGTTTGAAATAAAATTCCTTGAGTTAATTGTGATTTAGATTTATTTAAGATATATTAAGAACGAACCTTTCATTGAGACATCTTTCTTTGCAAGACGTAATAAGCCAGGTAGGGTATTACCCAGCCTAAGAGTTTCATTGATAACCTTTGTTTTATCCAAAAGGAAACAAGTCAAAAAGACAACTGATATTATTACAAAAATTAATTATCTAAAGGAATTTGGTACTTGCTAAATATGTAATTGGAATTAATTACTTGGTGAGTGAAAGCCATGGACTTGTACTCCTCCCATGTAATTGGAGAGTTTGAATTTTCTCTTTTTTTGAGAATTGCTTCATGCTCTGCCTGGGAAATATATGGAAATTGATCATCATTATAATTTGTGTTGTAAAATAAATTTTGTTTTTTTTTTAATTTTGTTTTATTTATTTATTTTTTTGGGGTGAAAACTCAATTGATCATGCTCTTGATCAAACTTTTTCCACTTACTGTCAACTCCTCCAAGACCGAAGGATGATCGGCGAGTAACTTGAAAGCTAATGTCATTGTTGCAGACAAAGTTTCGAAGGTAGCTAATAAAACACCAAAAGTCATATGCGCAACAAAATCCTCGGTTAAAAACTTTTCTTTATCCATGTCTTTGCTGATCTCGTACAGGAAATCTCCTTCATGTGTCTGATCAGATGCTAACGAAGCGCGTCTCTCCTTTAGCATGCCCCTCAACATGTTCACCACACTTTCTTGTTCCTGAATAACCATAAACGTACAAACATCAGATTAAACCTTTTCTGATCTTGATCCTTTTTTTTTGGGGTGATGTTTGAGTTTACCTTTCTGCATTTATAATATGTTGTACCCGGGATATTCAAGGGAATAGTCATAAGACCTTCCATGATTCTAGTGTATTTCTCTCCTAGATCTTCAGTTGCTTTTTCGGGGTCGTAACCGATCAGTCCCTTTGCACCAAAATTTAGTAGCATCTGTCGTTGTCACAAGAAGTACAATTTTTTTTATGCAAGTACAACAAAAAGAAAAAAGAAATTTGAATTTTATATATATGTATATATATGTGTGTGTCTATGTATAGTTAGCTTACAATTGTAGTGGCGTGTCTCACTTCAACAGAACCCTTACTTGACCATGCACTTAGGGTTTTATAGATGCATTCTTGAATTTCAAAGAGCAACTTGTCCTTTAGGTTTTGAGTACCAAAATGATTCAGAAGAAGAGTTCTCAAGTACTTGTGGATAGCACTGAATCCTATGTGGGTTTCGCAGTCGCCGTCTTGCTCAAATAACCTAGTGAACGTGTCCAAGTACCACAGTTCAACCAGCTTACCTTCTTGTTGCACAATGTAATTGTTGAACTCAGCATCTGTTGATATTACAACTTGCTTACCCATTACACTTGTTCGAAAAAGAGGACCATGCCTGAAATGTGACAAAAATAAGTATCAAGTGTATACACACACACAAAAAGAAAAAAAAATCTTATGCAGTAAATGTTTGAGTCGTTGATCAAACTCTATTATATTTGTGAAATACATGATTTTGATATGATTAAGGTGCAATCTTACGGTTATAAATGCATATTACCTTTGCATCCTGGTTTTGATGAAGGGATGAAGATCAAGAGAGCGACCGGGAATGATGAGTGGAGAGTCTCTCCAATGAGAGGGAGTCCCATGGAACCTGGAGGGAGAACCCTATTAGTGCAGTTAGGATTTCTCCACCTCCTAGTCCAGTGACTAATCCATATGATTAGCAATGTCACCAAACACAATCCGACAGTCCACATTTCTAACTTCTTTTGAGTACTTGGAATTTCCTTAGCTAACTGGTATCCTATGTAGTAGTACCACTACTGTATATATAGGGAGTTTTCGGTGCAGTTAGTCCTTGTAGTATTAGCATTGTTCGGGACACTCAGTCATTTTAAGGTTTTACCCAAAAGTTTAAGGGAGCTTATCAAAAATTTAAAATCTTTGTCCATACTTTATACGAGACATACTCAGGGCCTATTTAATTCATTGATTCAAGTTGAGATATGACTTTATATGAAAATTTTTTACTGTAGAAAAAAATTAAATGTGACTGTTTTTTAGAACTTTTTACTGTAGCGAAACTCGAATCGATAAAATGAAAGTCTTAAAAAAAATGGTTGCAGTTATAGTATAGCGGTAATTGCACTTTTGACTACACCTTAAGGTGTAGAGTTTGAAGCCATGCACCCCTAAGTTCTAAAAAGAAAAGTTGGCAAAGAAAAAAAAAAGTAGGTCTTCCAATGACTTCTTTTAATGTATTTTTTAAAATTTTCTTTTATTATTTTTCAATTAATTTTTTTTCCACTCTCTCTGTTTTTATTTTTTATTTTTTTTCTGGATAACTCTTGAAATGTTAACGCACCCTGCACTCATTTAAGTAAATTTATTACTCAACTACGTCGCAGCAAGTTGCTTATCAAATCTTGTTAGTTTACCAATCCATCCCAAAAGCTTAAGCTATTAGGAGGTGGGCCAACAATAGTTTTATACTTTAACACTCCCCCTCATGTGTGGGTTGAACAATGGACAATCGTGTGGGTAAATTAATTGGAAAGCCCAACACGTGAATAAGCCCGAGATATATTAAAGATCCAACACATGACAATTTTAAATGGGGATAAAGAGTGCAATTACAGAGGTTTGAACTCATGACCTAAACTAACATGGTCTCAGAGCGGGAGGTCCTGAGTTTAAATCCCCGTAATTGCACTATTTATCCCCATTTAAAAATTGTCATGTGTTGGGTCTTTAATTTATCTCGGGCTTAAATATTCGCGTGTTGGGCTTTCTAATTAATTTACCCACACGATTGTCCATTGTCCAACCCACACGTGAGGGGGAGTGTTAAAGTATAAAATTATTGTTAGCCTACCTCTTAACAGCTTAAACTTTTGGGATGGATCGGTAAACTAACAAATGGTTTTGAAACTTGAAAGATCCTACTAAATCTAGTATTGATCTTGCAGGCTATGGCAAGAATATCACCAAAGTATTGCTATGAATTTATTATCATGTATGGGCCTTACTTGGCCACCATATCAGATGGCAGATGAAAAGATTTGGAAAATGAGAAAATTATTATTCTGCCGACGCTTACTGTTACTCATCCCTCTTTTTTTCTTTTTTTTTTTTCCTCACTCTATTTGTCTCTTCCTATTTTTTTTTTTTTTTAAAGGCAATATTGCTTTAGACTACAAGGGGATTGAAAAATGGATTTTAAAGATTTCACTGAAGAAAACTCCTTTTATCCTGTCCTAGTGTCCTTCATTAACAACTGCCGTTGGGCTTGGGAGTTGTTGCAGGACTTTCCTCCCTATCCTCTCCGTTCATCTTCCTTGCTTAAACGCCTCTCACCTTCCTCTACTGTTTAGAGGTATCAAAACGGGCAGGCATAGTGGGCCAACTCAAACACGACACGTTAAGAAATGACACGGTGTGGTACGACACAAGATGATTATCAAATGAACCTAAACGACATGATTAGTAAATGGACTGGTTTCGGCGCACATTTTAAGCGCGAAGCACGTAAAGGCACAACACTTCAAGAGCCCAGCGTAGGTATAACTACAAGTACGATAATCAGCACGACAATGACACGAAGTTATTGCTCTTTTATTTCTATTTCTTTAAATAATTTTTTACAAGTTATAATGTACTCTTTTTAATTACTATGATTTTTTCTCACATTTAAAAATTTGCTTGGTAAGGCTTTCCTTAATATAGTTTCTATGTATTATGCTTTGTTTTTGAGTTCTAGGTGGGTGCGTCAGTTGTTTTCAACGTATTGAGTCATGTGTTCAAGTTCGAAGATACGCAATAAAAATGCTTTGTTTTTGTTTAAAAAAAAACTATTTTTTTTATTTCAGGAAGAAAATTTCAGAAATACCAGTAGAGGGAGACGTGTTAAGATTTCTGCCCAAAAAGACTAAGGCCCCGTCCACTTCGCTGATTTGAGTTTAGAATTCGAATTTTTCTACAGTAAAAAGCTCTCACAAATAATCACATTTAACTTTTTTGCTACAGTAAAAAGCTCACATATAAAATCACATCTCAACTCGAATTCTAAACTCGAATCAGCGAAGTGAACGAGGCCCAAGGGACCAATCAAAGTTCACTAAAAGTGGCAAATATCCTAACACCAAATAAGTTGTAGTACAATTTAGAGATATAGAAATTTCTTGACACGCTACCTAACTTTCTCTCATTTTTCATTACTTATTTTTATTGTTTATTTATAAATTTTCTAATGGACATGATAACAGCACGATTAATTAAGGCGCAAGGGCACAATACGGATATAAATGAGTTATGGGTTGGGTCTTGCGTCATACATGATAAATTGGCTCGCGGTGTGATGCAATTATTAAATGAGCCAATGCAAACACAATCCGTTCAAATTTTAAAACCAATGAAGCTCATGAAGCTCTTTCCCGTTGGATTTAAAACCAATCTAACATGTTATGCTAAATGTGCATTACAACTTTCACATTTTAATAATTATGACAAAAGATAAATATAAAAAATATCCTTTTATTATCCTGTCGTACATAATGTGCCTGTTTAGAATCATTTCCAAAAACATTTTTCACATTTTTCAAGAATTAAAAAATGAAAACGCACTTAGAAATGCGTTTGGCACGCATTTCCTGAAAAACAAAAACTGAAAACGTTTTTTACTTATTCCCAAAAACTCAGCAAAAATCGTTTTTAGTTTCCCATTTTCATTTTCTTTGCCCGACTGGACCACTCTTCTCCGATTGCCCCCCCACTCTTCCCTGATCTCGCTCGACCCCTCCCTTTCCTCCGATTTCCTCTTCGGCTCCGGATCAAAAAATTCCAGACTCCTCCGAAACTCATTTCTTCGTGTATATAATGTTTATTTAATATATTATTATTTAATATATTTAATATTATTATTTATTTAATATATTATTATTTTAAATATTATTACATGTTTTTAAAAATTAAACCACCAAACACAATTTCAGTTTTTTTAAAACTGAAAAGAATCTCGGAATAAAACTACCAAACGCATTTTCAGAAATGATTCCAAAATGAAAATGAAAACGTTTTCATTTTCATTTTCATACAGAAAATAAAATTATTTTGGAACGAATTCTAAACGCACCCAATGTGTCTTATAGGCTTGTGGGTTGTGCTAAATTTTCTTCCCTATCTTCTCTGTTGAACGTCAAATTTCTCTCACTTCCTATTATTCTTTAGAAATAATATGTGTTGAAAGTTGTATCAGATATAATCTCTAAACGAATATATTGCCAAAGTTAATCTCTGTATTAAATAAATGAAGATAAAACATTTGATCGTTTAATTAATTTAAGTGTTGATATAGCTCTTTCAATTTGGTTGGCGCCATTTTTTAATTAAACATTAGTGTAGCTTCAATAGATGTGTAAAAACAACACGTGATCCAATTCCAACGTAATCTACAAAGTTTTGCAGTAGTTTAATTCTATGGCGCCATATAATATGCATGCAAGTGGACATAGTGTTATCTCTACTCTAGTTCAATATAGAGCTCACTAAAATTGTAACCATTCAAAAACAAGAGAGTTATAGGGAGGAAAAAAGAAAAAAATTAGTAATTACTTCAAATCCCTTCAAAGAATTTTATACAAGGTGTCTTGTACAATGGAAAAATGAGACAAACAAATACCCTTTAGAGTACATGAGTTTAGATTTTTACCCATTATTTTTTATTAATATTCTTTTTAGTCAAATAATTATATTAGCAAAACATTGCTAGCTAAGAGTTAATGAGTAAAAATCTATACCCATGTACTCTGAAGGCAAATTCAGCAATTTTCTCTTGTAAACAAGTGCAAAGAAAGTCAAATAGTGATCTACAATGTCGTCTGCTTATAGAGATACAAATTTCTCATATGAGACAAACGAGAGAGACTAGTACGAGAATACAGGTCCATCTAGATAAATACATTTACAATATATGCCTTTTTTACAAATCCTAAGAGAAGACTAAGTACAAGCACGTCTAGAATAGTGGTAAATAAATTGCCATCTCTTAATTTTTCTCCGAGAACTTGATATGAATGCCTTTCCCAAATTGCAGAATAGGATTACGCGCAACGTCTTCTACCTTGATTTTGGTCCACCTATCAGTATCAGAAGTTTAAGTCTCTCGCACAACCCCATAAAATAAAATTAAGAGAAAAAAAGAAAGCCATACCTATATTTGGTGAGCAAGACATAAAAAAAAGTGGCCATGAAAGCTCTACTATACTCTGCTTCTGCACATTGTCTTATTCCTCTTCCAAAAGGCATGAAATTCCTTGATATAACAAGCGAATCAAGATCCTAATTTCCAAACAAATAAAACGTAATCAGCTTTCACAAAGTATCGCTTCATGATACGGATTAGAGTGGCAAATCGGAGTTTGGGAAATGATAACGAAAACTTAACCTTCCAGCGCCACGGATTGAACTCGAGGGGATTGCCTAATGTGCTAGGACTCAACTGCAGGGCAGAGGTCACCATCATAATGGCTCAACCTTTTGGAATTGTAAACCCTGCAAAAGAATTTACCCAAATATCAGATTTTGAAGATGTTATGCCATTATTGTGTAATATTTAGACTAACTAATTTGATTGAGGACATACCTTTCACTCGGATATCTTTCAATGCTTTACGCAGCAACCCGGGTGCAACATTTCCTAGCCTAAGAGTTTCATTGATAACCTATGTTTCCCAAAGAGTGAAACATGTCAACTCAAGACAATTGAAAACACCTCAAAAGGAATTAACATATAGTGAATATTGTGAAACTAACTTGAAGAGTGAAAGTCATCGATTTATATTCATCCCATGTTTGTGAAGAATTCGGATCTTCTCTGTTTTTGAGAATCGTTTCGTGCTCGGCCTGATGAATGGCACAATATAAAACATAAGTAACACAAAAGTGGGAATATAATCTAATGTAAACTAAGGCATAAAGTTTTTTTTCTTTACAATCATCTCCTCCAAGACTGAAGGATGCTTCGAGAGTAACTTGAAAGCCAATGCCAACACTGCTGAAACCGACTAAAATGTAGCAAATAAGCCCCCAAAAATACGTTGTACAATGAAATCCTCAGATAAGAACTTTTCCTTGTCCACGTCCTTGCTAATCTGATCTAGGAAATCTCCTCGATTTGTCTCAAGCGACGCACGTCTCTCCTCTAGCATATCCCTCAACATGGCTATGATCTTCCTCTTATCCTGAGTTTTCATGTACCAAACTCTAATAAGATTATGGGCCCGTTTGTTTTATGGGTTCAAACCCATATGGCTTTGGTTCAAAAAATATTTTTCTCACAAAAAATTTAAATTTGAAAAGTTTTGTTACAATATTCTCCCACAAAATTTGAACTCTAGTTCAAACTACTACTTTGAACCCATCTTCTAAACAGGTACTAACCTTCCCAAACCTAGAAACAATAAGTTGTGGCTTAGATTTGTTTCCTAAATTTTGAGTATTACCTTTACACATTGATTGTATGATGTCCCAGGAATATTCAAGGGAAAAGACATGAAACCTTGCATGATTCTACTGTATGTCTTGTTTAGGCTTTCAAATGACTTGTTGTCATCATAATTGATAATTTGCTTTGCACTAAAATCTAGAACCAACTGCAATTGCCAAAGAAAAACATGAATATCATCAAATAATTAAGCCTCATTTATGATTAGTGAGCTCAAAAGTAATTACAACTGAAGCAGCATGTTTGACTTCCATAGAGGCTTGAGTTGACCATGCACTTAAAGTTTTGTTGACTATTTGTTCTATTTCGGGGAGCAACTTTTCCTTCATCCTCTCAGCACCGAAGTGATTCAGAAAGCTCCTTATGTACTTTTGGCCGATGCCGAACTCATTGGTTCGCGATTCACCTTCTTGAACAAAGATCTTCGAAAATTTGTCCAATTAATATCGCTCAACCAGACTTCCTTCTTGCTGAAAAAGGAAGTTATTGAACTCTGGATCAGCTGAAATTACAACTGGCCGACCAACTATACTTGTCGGGAAAATAGGCCATAGCTGAAAGAAAAATGAAGAAGAAATAATAAACAAGCTAAAAGCTGGAAGAAAGTAGTAATCTTTCGACTAACTTCTCTAAAGCACCATCCAGGATTACTCTTTTTTTTTTTTTTTTTTAATAATAAAACACACAAGCATAACACACAAAATTCACTGCCATATCGACCACGAGAGCTTTAGGAGGTAACACTATGATCAATGAGTTAGTCTATAATTGGTTCTTTGGGTGGGTTTGGTATTAATTTTGAGAGAGAAAAGACGGTTAAAATTTAAAAAAGTGTTTGATAAAATAGATTTTTAAATAATTTTTTCTCAATCTAAAACTAAAAGTAGAATCAGCTTAAAAATTGATTCTAATTTCAGCTTACGGGGGAATCGGTTTTGAGAGTTTAATGAAATTTTTATTCCCAATTTTACCCTCAATTTCCAGAACTCTCTCGCTCTCTCGTCTTTCTCTCTGTTTATTTATTTCCTCCCAAACTTCACAGAGTTCTCAGCGTATCAGCAACAAAAACAAAAACCATTGGCAAAACTCCAAAACTTGAGCTTTGAATTCAACTTTCTATTGTTTATCTCTCTTCATTTCTATATGAACGGTTAGAGAGAGAGAAAGAGACACGCGTTGCGGAGTTCAGTGTAGGACTTTCTCTGACCTCAGAGTTTTAGAGAGAGAAAGAAATGGCCGGAAATGATTGGATAAACAGTTATCTAGAGACGATTCTGGACGTAGGGCCAGGTCTTGACGATGTGAAGTCGTCGTTGCTTCTGAGAGAGAGAGGCCATTTCAGTCCCACTTGCTACTTCGTCGAGGAGGTCATCACCGGATTCGATGAGACCGATCTCCATCGCTCCTGGGTTAAGGTCTGTGTGTTTTTTTACGCTTTTGTCTCTTTTGATTTTTTCTTTTTCTGTTTATGCTCGATGAGAATTTCGTTTGATTGTTTGTGGGTGATTCCCCAGGCAGCGGCGACGAGGAGTCCTCAGGAGAGGAACACCAGATTGGAGAATATGTGCTGGAGGATTTGGAATTTGGCTCGCCAGAAGAAGCAGGTGTTTTTTTTAATTATTTTTTTAAATATTGGTGATTTGCATAGTTTAAGTTTGATTCGTATATTTTAAATCGAAAATTAAGATTTGAAGTATGCTTTAGTTATGTATGAATAATTGGATTAGTAGATGTATGAAAGCAAGATCCTTGATGAGTTTCTTACTGTTTAACTGTAATTTACTCAAGTGTCAGCGTTGGATGGGATCCCCATAATATATACAGATAAGTAGAACAGCATGGTCGAATTGCTAAGAATAGGAGGTAGTGGTGAGTCTTAGTCGGAAGTGACGTAAGTGCAAAATACAAGGGGGCTATAAGGAATGTAGGAGGATAGGTGTTCGGGAGTTTATAAGGAATGATGTCTAGTACTTTCGTAGATGCATATATGCAAAATGTTCCTTCCTTGTTTGGGGCCGACACATAACGGTCTTAAATTTTCGCTTCGAGCTATTTTCTAATTACATTAACGACTTACTGCTTTGTCTTGTCGTATTTAGCTTGAGGGAGAAGAAGCCCAAAGGAAGGCTAAACGTCGACTTGAAAGAGAAAGAGGTCGTCGGGAAGCTACTGCTGATATGTCTGAAGACTTATCAGAGGGAGAGAAGGGAGATGTGGTGGGCGACATATCAAGTCATGGTGAAAGTACTAGGGGCAGATTACCAAGAATTAATTCCGCTGATGCTATGGAAACTTGGGCTAGTCAACAAAAGGGGAAAAAGCTATATATTGCATTAATAAGGCAAAAGGGGAAGACATTATATTATTAATTGGAAAACTAATTATGATTATGAATACTGCATATTTTTAGTATAATATTACTTGACACAATAATGGTCTCTGTATCTGATAGAAGCATTCTAACCATTCTCTAAACTTGGTTCAACTAGCTGCCGAAGGGAACTTCATAAGAAAACTAAACATGACTGATGGTAACTAATGAATATCTATCTCTCATAAGCTATAAATAATGATCTTTGTTGTGTCTAATGATTTTCTATTGTTTTTAACGAGAAGTATCCTTGCAGCATTCATGGTCTAATAAGGGGTGAAATTATGGAGCTTGGTCGTGACTCTGATACTGGTGGCCAGGTAATATCTTGTTGTAATGTTTTTCCCACATGATATCTTTATGGTCGTGACTCAGAGTCGCCGTGCTTCTCAGCGGCGGCGTCGACAGTAGCGTCGCTCTGCGCCTCCTCCACGCCGCCGGCCACTCCTGCATCGCCTTTTACCTCAAGATTTGGTTCCAAGTAAGGAGAGTTACGTTAATTATTGATTAGTTTTGAGTTAATTAATTGATTATTTATTAATCAATGTGTGTGTTTTTGGTGTAGGAAGATTTCAAAAACTTTTGGTCGGAGTGTCCATGGGAAGAGGATTTGAAGTTTGCCAAAGCTGTTTGTAGTCAGGTCTATTTTTTCCTTATTGGAAGCTTTTGCTTTTGTTTGCTATTTGCCTATTTCTCTCTATTTGCCTATTTCACATGAGAGAAAGAGAGATTTTGTTATTAAATTTTGGCATTTTCTTTTTCAGATTGAAGTGCCACTTGAAGAGCACGAAACAATTCCACAACTCGAAGATAAGTTTTTCTTGGTATACAAGAAGGTCAAGTCACTAACTAGGAAGCTAAAGACCACATACAAGGCATCAAGGCCTAACTTGTTTATGTAACTTGGTCATTTGACGATCAAGCTTTTAAGAGAAGTTAAAGTGAGGCTATTCGAGGATCTTTTTGGTAGAAACTTCTTTTTTGGTCACTTTTTGTTATTTTATTGGATATTTTGTTATTTGAGCATCTTTAAACCCCAAGTTGGTTTAGTTTAAAGGTTTCAAAATTCTTGTTTGCTTACAAATAATTCTACTAATATTAGTGTCTGGACGAAATGTCATTGAACACACTTATGGTGTCTGGAAGAAAAAATGAAAAATTTTAAAAGACATGCCAAATTATTCATTTACAAAGGAAGTGAAAATAGTTATTGCAACAATGGCGTTCCATAACTACATTAGGAAGCATGATAAGCGTGATCAACATTTTCAAAGGGTCGAGGATAATCCAGATGTTTTCATTTATGAAGAGAATCAATAAAATGACAATGTAGAAGAAAATCAAACTTTACTATCACTGGAAATGGATGAAGTACGAGATCAAATTGCGGCAAGTTTAATGAACACGACTTAATTCTTTTCATGCATCTACCAGTTTTTGAACATAGAATGTACATTTTTGTTCAACAAATTGATTACTCACTGATGCTCCTTTTGTAACGATATTGTGAATGAAGAAATGAAAAAAAAAAAATTAATTATCGTAAATTTATTGTTAAAAAACTCAAAATCATAGCATTATGTTTTTTTTTTTTTAAAGTTAAACAAGTATTTCTAAATACCAAAAATAATTATATATTTAAGTTTCATACTATGTCTATTTTAGTCATTTTACACACCCACAACAATTCAACCTCAAAATTTATAAAACGCTATTACACTGATTTTGGAACCAGGACAGCTACTATAATTACAGTTTACCAAATACTTAGCTACTTCTTGTAACAATTGCTTCTTCCTTCAGCACAGCTAAAAGTAAATTTTCTAAAATCTACAGCACTACCAAACTAAGCCCTTACCTATTTATGCTGAAAAGTAAAATTTTTCAAAAAGAAGACATGGGAAACATATGGAGCATACCAGATCATTACATGTCATAATAAAAAATGCATATATTCATAATATATATCTACATATACATGAAAACATATATATTATCATGGATGTGAAATGTGTTGGGTTCCGCCCCATTTGTGGGCTGGAACAATTAGTGGGCTTCAAGCCCAAATGCCAACAAAAATAAAAGAAAGGATGCTGCTCACGTGGGCAACAAACTAGAAAAATAGAAAAAAGAAGAAGAAGGAGAATCGGGGAGCAGAGGTATAATGACTGAGAAAATTTCAGACTTTAAATAATACAATTTATGTCTTTAAGTCAAGGATTTTTTTAGAAAATACTATGTTATATTTTCTAACTGGAGGATTTATGGAATTAACATCTGTATTCCTAAATTATGTAGTAGATTTCATGCCAAGTTCATGTTTTACGATCAAGTAAGTTCAATCGATAAATTCTCGCCGTACTTTAAGGCAGAAGAATTTTCAGTACATATGTAGTTTGAGAATCTTAATTCCAAGTATCTCCAAGCACAACATGATGTTAGAAGCGTATAAAAAACGCTCTGACATTTTAAAAGAAGAGAAAATCCTTAATTGCCAGACATCTAAGTTGAAGTCACGAGATAAATACCTATAGTAGGAGGGTATGATGTGAGCTCGGGAGTTGACATTATCAAAAGCAACGTCAATCCCGGGATATAATGCATAAATTTAAGTTTAGAATTTGTTTAGTCTAGAATAAATTTCAAGACTTGAAACAGTTCAAAATATTACATGAATAAGAATTTAACGTGATATCGAAGTAGTCGGGGATTGATATTGAACTGTAAATAAGCAGTAGAAAAGGAACTGTCAGAAACTAGAATTTTCTGTTAGCTAAGTACTTCCTTACAGTTAGTATAATTTTTAACAGTTTCAACGGAAACTTAAGAAAGTGGACAAAAGTACAAGGGGTAGGTAATATTTTTCTCTCTCTCCTTCTCCTCTTGGCCGGCCATGCATAGTGAAATTAGAGCCAAATTTTGGCTAGTTGAGTGTGCTAGAGGGTTTCATATTAAAGTGTGATGTGATGGTAGTGGTTGAAGGGAAAATCATGGCATACTTGCTTCTTCTTTTCTCCACATAGAACCGGCCATGCTTGGGAGATTGGAACTCAAAATCTAGTTGAATTAATGGAGTGGATTTGGTGTTAAAAAAAAAGACTACCAACTTGTCTATAAAAGGGACCATCATAAGTTAGGCCTTATTTTTTTACTCTTCTCATTTTCTCTCCACCCCAAAACCGGCCACACTACACCATTTCCTCTCAAAAATTTTCTCTCACTCTCCTAACCTTAAGCCACTAGCAAATAATAGAAGAAGAAGGAGAAGATCAAAGGATTCTAGGAGGAGTCTAGTCAAGCATCTCTACAAGGGTATAAACTCTAAACTATCTTTTTCTTATGTTCTAGTAAAGTTTGAGATGTAGAAATATTCTTCTTAAATTTTCTCATACTCTTCTAGTTCCAAGCCATTAACAAACCCTAGAGGAAGAAGAAGGTGATCAAGTATTCTAGGAGGAGCCTAACCAAGGACTTTCTTCAAGGGTATAGATTCTAAACCTTTCTCGTATATTTTCCTATCAAAAATTAAGTTGGGAAACAAGGATGTAATTTGTGGGTCTTGAAGAGATAAGTTGTAATAAGGGTGTGTGAGTTTTAAGTTAGTTTTGTGTGTTTTGAGGTTAGTTGGATTAATATTATTTGGTCTGCTTATGTTTGGTTTAAGTTGTTTATTTTGGGTTGGAGGAAAAATTTTCCGGTTACTTTGAACGTGAAAATGAGGACCCTAGAGCGAGATTTTTCAGTATTTCAAATCTTGAACTTAAGGTTCTTGATATTTTGAACGTTTTTCTGTGACTGTGACAAAACCCAAGTTTAACTCTAAATGCAAGTTTTAAGCCATTTTGTAAAAATGGGACCCAACACAGTTTCGGGAAAAAGATTGCAGCCACTGTTTTCAGCCAAACGAGGCTCTTAGAGGCCGAATTTCAGTTTTCTCTAAAAACGACAATTTTAGATCTCGACGAGATGAAGAACTATTGTGAAGAACAGATTTTTAAAATCCGACCCTAAGATGTAGTAAAACACAGATTTTAGAAACTGCACAGTTTTAATAAAATAAAACTAACACAGTGTTGGTTTTTTAACAAAAAGCTATTAAAGAACCCGAGATGTAGTTTCAATAAAATACTATGGTATTAAACCTCGTTTTAACTGAAGTATTCGTAAAGAAAGTTTTTAAGAAAAATACTTTCTTTTAAAGAACTTAATGGTTTATCGAGCAAATCATCCCGACGGGCGCCAATGAGCCCAATACGATAGGTCCTTGGAATTTTGAAGATTAGATGTGTGTCCAACGCCCACATTCATTCAAGAGACCCCGTTTGAGTTTAAATTTTAACGACCTAAGAGTTAGAATACTGTGAATAAGTTTCTAGGCCGAATTGGGCCTTAATATCATAATAAGTCCAATGAGGAAAATTATGGAGAATAAGTTACTAGATTGGGTAAATAATTTTCAATCTAGACATAAATATGTTAAGGGCAATTAAGGGAAATAAGATTTTGAGGATTTAATAAATTGATCCTTATAGTAAATTATCCTTCAGTAAAGGAAAGGAATACATGCCTTAAGTAAAGGAAAGGAATACATGCCTTAAGTAAAGGGCTAGATTTCATTCATAATTTGCTAAAATAGAATAGCAAACGACAGTTAATCTCACACTCTTAATGGGTGTTCATTTTCTGAAGTAACCAAGTATGAGAATAGATTGTTTAGCGAAAAGTGAATTCCAGCTCTGTAAATCAGGTAAGTAGTAATCTCGCAATCTCGCCTACAGTATGAATATATTTTAAAGAAAAAGTTACACATGTTATAGTATGCTATGCTATGTCATATTGCATACACCTTAATAAGTCAAGAAGAACTTATAAGAATAATATCAGTTGAGTGCCGTACTAGCCTCTGAGAGGGAGGTGACTCAGGCTCCCAAGGGAGAAGAAAAAAAATATAATAATGTCCTCTGAAAGGGAGGCATTCAGTTCAGTTATAATGACGGTGTCATGGGGGACCTTGCAAACTTTCACGTCCCGATGATTGCGCGCAAGTGGTACGAGCACTCGGGCCCATCAGTAAGAAAGATAAGATAAGATAATAAGTCTATGATAAGACATCATAATTAAGCATAATCAGCGCATGCATATTTATTCATGTGTACTTACAGTTATTTTGCGAGAGATAGTTTCTACTTGCTGAGCGAAAGCTCAATCAGATATGTTCATGCTGTAGGTAAGAAAACCTGTCAGTAATTCTTGAAGGGCAATGGCGAGCGGCGAATGAATGGTGGAGATGAGAATGTATACCGCTCACACTTAAATCTTTCGTAGTAAGTTTTAAGTAAAATCATGTATATGTATATATGATTCAAAGGTTTCAAGCATGTATATTTGAAAAGTATATGTACATATGTATGTTAAGAAAACTGAGGTTGTAGCTAACAACCCTAGTCTTGAGTATTTAAGTTTTAGAACGTTGCAACAGTGCATGCAACAAATAAACGAATTTTAAACATGACGATTTAAATGATTGATCTTAAAAGGACTTTAAGATGTACTTGAATTTAAGATTTCTCACGAAATTCGTTTTAAAGTCAAATTATATGGCCAGATTGAATTGACTAATTTTAGAAAGGCTTTTAAAGAGCATTTGAAACAAGAGTTCAAACGCTACTCAGTTTGAAGGATATTTCTAGAAGTTTTATTTTAGTTGAAATTAAGAAAAGCTTTAAGAAATTAGGCTTTTAAAGAGCATTTGAAACAAGAGTTCAAACGCTGCTCAGTTTGAAGGATATTTCTAGAAGTTTTATTTTAGTTGAAATTAAGAAAAGCTTTAAGAAATTTAGTGATTCATTATTTTGAAATTATTGTTATGAATTATGAAATTATTCCTTCTTATATTTAAAAAAAATGTTCCGTAAAATTTAAAAAATCTCAATAAGTACAAGTTAATTTCAGCTACAGTGACGGCCACCCAGGAGGGTCGTCACAAGAGGGCAGTTGAGAAAAACTAGAGAAAGGGAAGGGAAGAAAAGGAGAGAGAGAGAAAGAGAAAAGAGGTAGGGTTTTAGTGCTTGTGCAAGACAGAAAAGGAGAGAGAGAGAAAGAGAAAAGAGGTAGGGTTTTAGTGCTTGTGACGATTGGGTGGCGAAACGTTGTCGGTTTCGGCTCAAATTTGGCGTGGAGAATCCTTGTGGCGAGCTCTTCCAATCTACCGGACTTGATTTCTCATTTAGCCTCTCTTTAATACTCTCTTGAGTACTCTTAATTTAGTAAGACCTAAGTCTTTCTTTGGTATTATTGTTGTTATCCATCTTTGATGATGATGTCTATATTGTTGGTGAATCAAGAATAGTGTTTCTTGATGATATTATTGTTGTGAGCCTCTAGTTTGATTCTAGAGAGAAACTTTGTAATCTCATTGTTAATATAGTGGAAGAAATTTAAGTGGCCTAAGGGTTCTGTGATTTTTATTATCAATTTGAGAGGTTTTCCACACTAAAAATTAATGTTTCATTTGTGGTTAATTATTTTGATTAATTGGTTGGTGCATTGGCTGTTTGGCTTTGTTGACATTTTGTTTGAGATCCTATTTTAACACACAAAGAGGGAAAGTCTTATTCTATAATTGTTAGTATTAGTTTTCCTAACAAAATATGATGATGATCACCTTTGAAGTCGTGTTTTGATGAAGGGATGAAGGTCAAGGGAGTAACTAGGAATGATGAGATGAAGAGTCTCTCCAATGAGAGGAAGTCCCATGGAACCTGGAGGCAGAACTCCATTTGAACATTTCGGATTTTTCCATTTCCTAATCCATATGATTAGCAATGTCACCAAGCACAATGCGACCGTCCACATTTTCTAATTTCTCCGAGTACTCAGTCTCTCTCGCTCAAGATATTTATCTGAAGCCTAAAAGAAAAAGGATGTGAAAAGACAGGGCTTATCAAACATGAAACTACTTTTGATTTCACCTAGAAAAGGAATCTTCCGAATGAGGTGATTTAAAAATTCCTCGAGTTTAGCCGGCTGCCGTACGTTTTCATCACATAATCTTCGAAGTTTTGCAGTAGTTTAAATCTATGGGCCCACATAATATGCTTGCACGTGGACATATATTTTATGTCTCCTCTAGTTCAATATAGTTTGGAATTTTTGTGGACAGTGATGATTCTACTGTACTTTGTAGAACTCACTCAAATTGTAACCATTCAACAACAAGAGAGATGTAGAGGGAAAAATTGAAAAGCAGAGATATAAAGAAAAAAGAAGGAAAAAAAAAAAAAAAAAAAAAAAAAAAAAAAAAACTTTGTTTACTGGAACCAAAAAATTACATACAAAATGTCATATAATTGCAAAGAAAGCCAATGCCGTCTACTTATACAAATAGAAATTTCTCACATGAGACAAACATGAAGACCATTATGAGAATACAGGCGCATCTACACAAAAACACTCATAAGATATGCCTAAGACAAGACTACTCACAACATACATGCAAGTCTAGAGTAGTGGAAAGTTGCCGCCTCTCAATTTTTCTTTGAGAACTTGATGTGAATGCCGTTCCCAAATCGCAGAATAGGATTACGCGAAACGTTTCCCACCTTGATTGTGGTCCACCTATCGGCATCGGAAATTTTAGTCTCTAGCACAAGTCCCTTAAAAAAAAGAAAAAAAAAAAACTAAAGAAAATCAAGTAAATGGCCTGTTTTTTAACCACATTTTTAATAAATGGCCGAATTTTTTATTTTTTTAAACAAATGGCTGAACTTTTTTTATTTTAGCAAAATGCCCGTTTTTCAGTAGTCAATCAATGATTGACCAACGATCAATCAGTGATTGATTGATTCATTATTATTAATTATCAATGACTTATCATTAATAAACATGTAATTTGTTCGATTGAAAGAGATTAATTATTAACTAATATTGATTAATAATGAAAAATCATCAAGTTAATTAGTCATAAACTTAAATCAATTAGTGGTAGATTAGTCAATCACTTAATTGATTATTAAGTTAATCAGTAATTGACCACTAAGTTAGTAAAAGAAACGGTTATTTTGCTAATTTTACAAAACTTTAGCTATCTTTTTGAAAAAATCCTTAAAAAAGGGACATATATGCTGTTATCCCAAAAAACTATACCTATATTTTGTGAGCAAGACATGGAAAAAAGTGGCCATGAAAGCTCTACTATACTCTGCTCCTGCACATTGTCTCATTCCTCTTCCAAAAGGCATGAAATTCTTTGATATAACAAGCGAGTCAAGATCCTAGTTTCCAAACAAACATCATAACGCAATCAGCTTTCACAAAGTATTGCTTCATGATGAGGATTAAAGTCGCAAATCGGAGTTTAGGAAATGACGATGAAAACTTAACCTTCCAGCGCCACGGATTGAACTCGAGGGGATTTTTGAATGTGCTAGGACTCAACTGCAGAGCAGAGGTCACCATCATAATGGCCCAACCTTTTGGAATTGTAAACCCTGCAAAAGAATTTACCAAAATATCAGATTTTGAAGATGTTATGCCATTATTGTGTAATATTTAGACTAACTAATGTGATTAAGGACATACCTTTCACTCGGATATCTTTTAATGCTTTACGCAACAACCCGGGTGCGACATTTCCTAGCCTAAGAGTTTCATTGATTACCTATGTTTCCCAAAGAGTGAAACATGTCAATTCAATACAATTTAAAACACTTCAAAACGAATTAACATGTAGTGATTGTAAAACTAACTTGAAGAGTGAAAGTCATGGATTTATATTCGCCCCATGCTAGCAAAGAATTCGGATGTTCTCTGTTTTTGAGAATCGTTTCATGCTCGGCCTGATGAATGGCACAATATTAAACATGAGTAACAAGAAACTGGGAGTATAATTAAAGGTAAGTGAGGCATAAAAAATGTTTCTTTACTATCATCTCCTCCAATACTGAAGGATGCTCCGAGAGTAACATGAAACCCAATGCCAATACTGCTGAAACCGACTCAAATGTAGCAAATAAGCCCCCAAAAATCAGCTGCACAACGAAATCCTCAGATAAGAACTTTTCCTTGTCCATGTCCTTGCTGATCTGATCTAGGAAATCTCCTCGATTTGTCTCAGGCGACGCGCGTCTCTCCTTTAGCATATCCCTCAACATGGCTATTATTTTCTTTTGATCCTGAGTTCTCATGTACCAAACTCTAATTATAAGATTATGTTTCTCAAACCTAGAAACAATAGGTTGTTGCTATTGTTTTGTTTTCTGAATTTTGAGTATTACCTTTACACATTGATTGTATGCTGTCCCAGGAATATTCAAGGGAAAAGACATGAAACCTTGTATGATTCTAGTGTATGTCTCGCTTAGACTTTCAGATGATTTTTTGGCATCATAACTGATAATTTGCTTTGCACTAAAATCTAGAACCAACTGCAATTTCCAAAGAAAAACATGATTATCATCAAATAATTAAGCCTCATTAATCTAAATGTAAGTAATTAGTAAGCTCAAAAAGTACTTACAACGGAAGCAGCATGTTTGACTTCCACAGAGGCCTGAGTTGACCATGCACTTAAGGTTTTGTTGACCATTTGTTCTATTTCAGGGAGCAACTTTTCCTTGAGCCTCTCAGCACCAAAGTGATTCAGAAAAATGCTCCTTATGTACTTGTGGACGACACCGAACTCATTGGTTCGCGATACACCTTCGTGAACAAAGATCTTCGAAAACGTGTCCAAGTAATATAGCTCAACCAAACTCCCTTCTTGCTGAAAAAGGAAGTTATTGAACTCTGGATCAGCTGATATCACAACTGGTCGACCAACTATACTAGTCCGGAAAATAGACCCATATCTAAGAGAAAAAGGAAGAAGAAATTGTTAACGAACTAAGTTGGAAAAAAGTAGTAGTCTTACCACTTTCTCTAGAGTACTATCTAAAGCTACTCTTTAACGTTGTTTTATAAAACACACAGAAGTAGAACACACAAAATTCACAAACAGATCGACCAGACGGCTTTAGGAGGTGGTAATGACATGGTCCATAAGTTACTCTTTCATTGGTTCTTAGTTATTCATGCTGAAAAATAAAATTTTCAAAAGAAGACATGGAAAACACATAGAGGATACCAGATCATGACATTATAATCCAACATGCATATATTCATAATAGATATATACACAAACACGAATACTTATACTCATGGATGTGAAGTGTGATGATGATCACCTTTGGAGCCGGTTTTTGATGAAGGGATGAAGGTCAAGAGAGTAAGTGGGAATGATGAGAGGAAGGGTTTCTCCAATGAGAGGGAATCCCATGGAACCTGGTGGCAGAACCCCATTGCATTTCGGGTTTCTCCATCTTCTAATCCAGTTGCTAATCCATATTACCACTAATCCCACCACACTTAAACAAATTGTATTCCACATGTTGTAACTGTGGTTATGCTCCTTAAGAGAAACTATTGAATTTTCTGAGTTCTGTATTCACTTGGGATAAAGTAGTAGTTGGTGCAGAAGTACTAACTGGTTAAGTTCTCTAGCACCAAAAAAAAAAAAAAAAAAAAAAAAAAAAAAAAAAAAAGGAGAGAAAAAAGAGTAACAAAGGTCAAGTAAAACCCACCAACCATGGCTTTATATTTAGACAAATACTGAAGGAGACATGGCTAAAGGGAAGGGAAACTTGCGCAAATAGCATTAAACTCTACATCTCACTGAATTTGACTCTAATTTTTTATTGTTTTATTATTAATGTTATACTTCTCAGAAAATTAAACTACTTTTTTTTATTGACTTCTTAATGACTAACACTGTGTCAATAAGTTAGAACACGTTATATGCGTAAGAAAATGAAAACATTTAGGACGGTGGGCCGGCTTGAAGACATATCACCATAATATGATGCCACTCTCGTCAAGTTCAACATAAGAAGTAACATGTTAGTGAAGTATTTTTGTTGTCAATAGCTTAGTGTAAAACCTTGTAACCTCTTTTTTTTTTTTTTTTTTTTTGGTGAATTTTTCTTTTCCAAATTTTTGGTTTGTTTGTCTAAGATAATCTCTCTATTTCCAAATTCTGGTTACAAGTTTATCTTTGAGCTACAATGAGTGAATACATCAATTCATAGACCAAATCAAAATCAATTAAACAGTCAAAATAACATAATTTCTTTAATAGGAGGACAAAAAAAATGAACTACCGATAGTTCTCTATTTTCAGCCGTCAGATCTGTATTAGAAACTATCCGTTCTGCATACCTTTTATTGACGGTGGAATTTCGTCAACAAGACCTTATCAGATTACCCCACGGTAGCCCGTTAGGTGACCGGTTCGGAACTTATGTTTTCACTGAATATATTGGAATTTGTAGTTCGGTTTTTGCTGCGTTATGAAGCAAATGAGATTATGCTTCGGAAAGTAAATGCACACAGGAATTTTATAGTGGTTCACACTTATCTTTGTTCTTACAAGTTACATATGCGTAAGCAAAGAATTCATCATCCTCTGCTCTCTCGGGGGCTCTTCTCTTTTATAGTAGACATTGCATGAGTCTCTGCCCAATGGCAGGCAGTTTGGACTATTGCACCGTGTCCTTCATGGGGCCCGCCCACTCGAGTGGCCTATGGCATCTTTTGTACAAACCTAGACTGCAATTACCTTTTGGACTGTTCACTCATCCAATTTGTCCCCCCATTACGGCTCTGTAGATCCTCTGTAATAGCTAGTGATCCTTTCTAGGCGGTTTTTGGGGGTTTATAATCATTTCTTATGCAACTGACCTTCTCCAAATCTAGACGCAACCTCGGGATATTCGGCTAATCTTCTCTGGGGTCTTCCTTGGGACGTGAATCCCGTTGCTTGTGCTCGGTCATCTGTGCCTATGCTAACATCTGCCGAGGGTAGCCTTTCCTACGGCCGACTTTGCCACGTTATTTTGCCAGGGCTGATCTCGCCGACCTCGACTGTGTATAGGGTCGTCGGTCTCGGTCTTATACATTCGGCTCTCCTGCCATATGGGAGGGACCAATGAGGCTCGGGCATCGAGGGTTAAATGACGTGGCAGGCATGGGGCCACGTGTGGCCTGATCGTTGTTCGACGTGTCGGTGTGAATTTTCCCACACAACACCTTTTAAATCTGATGTGATTTTAACCAAATTCAATAGTTAGAAATTAAGTCCTATCAATAGAGAGGTCTACCGGAGAAACTCCTAATAAAGAGTATAAGTGTTTTATACATTCAAATAACCCTTGAATCCATATAGTTTGATAATATTTTGCGAGAGTCTTGTTGAAGTAAACTATTTGCCTATCTACCAATATTGGATGTTGCAAGTAAGCAGTGGAGAAGTTTTTGCATCCAATTTTTGCTTTGTTGAGTGAAAGTCAAAGTATCTCAACCAATTATGAATAATTCAAAGGCTAAGTTCTGTATGGAAAATGACCTTATGAGGTACCAATACCGTTCAAAACGTAGAATGGTCTTCAACAGAACACTTGTTAGTCTAAACGAGCAATCCAACAAATCAGGGGAATTTCTTAACAAGAAATATTGTTAGTTGTTCCAATTTTGTGAGACAAAGTGTAAGTATAGTTTTATACTTTATTGTATGACCTCTTAGCGTGACTTTTGCATACAGGAATTTGGTATTCACCAGCTATATATGTGTGTGTGTCACGAAATATTAGTCTTTTTTAGTATATTATTAGTCTTTTTTTCCCTTCCTTTTTCAAATGTATGACCAACGAGTCCTGTTAGTTTTTATCACTCGAGAGAGAAAAGGGCAAAAGAAAAAGAAGGTATGTTATTATAAATTTAGTTATGTATGTTATTACATATCAGGAAATATTAGAGAATATGTCCATCTTATGGCTATGCTGCCTATGCATGATGTAGGAGTATGGATGAATAAGTAGCTGTTTTTCTACTGTCGGGCTTTGAAAAGTTAGTTTTAGCTTTTTCACATTTTAGGTATTTTTTTATTAGAAAATTTCATTTAATAATTAAGTCAATACACATTCTAATATAGTTACAAATGATTATTAAATTTTAAGGTATTCAACCATTAATAAAGACTGAATTCACCAATGAAGACCAATAAAGAATATCTCGATTGTGTAAAGGAAAAAAAAAAAATGAACCACTCAAATGTTTTTCAATTATGAAATTTTAGGTAGTGTGATTTTATGATTAGATGAAAAATAGGACCTTTGACATATTATGATGTCGCTAAGTTGACAAAAACCGATCGAAACAGTGATCTGTACTTCCCTCGTATAGCTAGCACACTGCACACCCACGAAAAATAATGTCTTGCCATTAAATAGAAGCAAAAAAATAATAAGAATTAGGGAGAGTAAGGTTTGGTTTTAAACCATTTGATTTGTATCAAAAGCTATTTATTTTGTATACGTTTTAATATTAATGTGTAAAAATATTGATGTGATTTAAGCGGATCCACACTAAAAGACGTACTATCTGTATGAAACTCTACAACGTAAATACAAAATAATAACTAAATTGTGTGTGTGTGTGCGCGCGCGCGTGTTTTTTTTTAAATATTTTTTTTATATCATTCAAAGATCAATCAAAAGATGTTTTCTCAAGGCCTAATATTGGTAGAGTCATCAACATATTTCCATTGATGGAGAGAAAATCACAAACAGTAAAATGGGCAGAAAAGTGGAAACAAGCTGTGCCAAAGTTTATTGCTTTGCTCCTTGTATTACTCGAAAGAACATTGAAGGATACATCTCACAAAATGGATATGGTCGGGAAGAAGAGGACAACAGTAATTTGTCTTTTGAGAAAAAAATAAGCCTTCGATGATTACAATTTCTTAAAAATTAAGATTTATGCAAAGTTTATTTGCAAAACCGACTATAAGATCAACTCGGATTATTCCCAAAAAGTTGTAGGAAAACCAAAAAAAAAAAAAAATGCAACGCAGTAAATAACCTAACAAGAAGAACCAACTCAGGAAGCTGGAAATAAATAGCATGAAGTCATGACCAAGAAGATAAACAATTTGACATTTTCCCAGTCGATCAGTCTAGGTTGGCAAGAACAGCGTCAACCACCTCTTGAGTACTACTGGTTCCGCCGAGATCTTTCGTCCGGTTTTTGCCCTCTAAGATTACACGTTTCACAGCCGTTTCGAGCCGGTCAGCAAATGAAGGAAACTGAAGGTGCCGCAGCATCATGGCCGACGATAAGAGCAAAGCCACTGGATTTGCCTTCTTTTGTTCCGTTAACTTTTCATTTCCCACATTTCCAGCTGAAGCACCTTGCTCAAAAACAGCATGATCAGCTCCCACGTTTCCTGAGATTAACAAAAAGTTGGATCAAAAAAACTTAGAGAGGGACCAAGTGCGAAAGGAAAAAGTACTAGAAGACTTGAACAGTCACTCCAAGCAATCTATCATCCTTCTCTTCTTTCTGCTGTGACCAAGTTATTAGAAAACTTCATGGTACAAATGTTGCTATCATCACAAACATACACTAGACACAGCTAACAATAACATATGAAGCACTTAACAAACTCATATTTACAAGCTGATGTGGCAGCTTATGCGGTACTGTCGTATCAACAATGTGAAAATAGGTTTTCTAAGAATTTTCAGCTCTTTCATGTAACATAAGTACTGTTATTAGATGCTGATTGATACCTCCTGGCATGACACCAGTGCCTCCAGCAATACCAGCTGCTGTGTTTGCCACTAGGTTACCGTAAAGATTAGGAGTCACCTGCAAGACATATAACAGTCAGCCTGCATCAATTGGAGGTACTAACCAATTCTCAAAATAAATAAATAAATCGTGTAAAGGCATTACTGGAAACAAGAAAAGACAATTAAAAAAAAAAGTGCAACTCCTCTTTAATGCTGAGAAAATTACCAACTATTATTATATCAGTCATTCAAAAGTGAATCAAGAAGTTCCAACAGTGTTCATCATACCCAAGTATAATTTCAATTCAAATTCGATAGATAACAGATGAACTACAATAGTTCAAAAGTGCAACATACCATAACGTCAAACTGCTCAGGCTTGGAAACAAGTTGCATACAGCAATTGTCGACAATAATCTCATTATACTTGATACTGGGATATTTTGTTGCCACCTCCCGGCAAGATTCTAAAAACAAACCATCTGCAAGTTTCATAATGTTGGCTTTGTGCACGGCCGTCACTTTTTTTCTGTTATTCAGGTAGGCGTACTCAAAGGCATACTTAGCTATACGCTCTGAGCAGAACTTTGTTATCACCTAGCAAAACGACTAAATGAGAGACAGAAACACCATTGGACCAAACAAAATCATAAATATTAAATATAACCATTTAAGGCAATCCCAAAACCATCATTCATATAGAGAAACCAAACAATGATAGGTTAGAAATAAGCATCTGATTCGAGATGTGACACATGGAGATCCAGTGTAAAGACATACAGAAAAAGTTTTACCAAGCAATGATCAGGAAAAGACAAAACCACTTCTCTAATGGAGAATAATAGAAACCTAAGTACTTCAAGGCACATTTAATCAATATGTGGAAAGTAACTTTCTTTTATTATTATTTCAAACTTAGCAGTCAATTACTAGTAATATTCAATGTATTTAGGAGTTAATGACAAGTGACAACACCTTTGTCCCACAACCAAGGAAAATTCTACAATCTAGTTTTCCTCCTCTTACAACCTTGAATACAAAACTAGAATCAATAATGGTGGTATAATCTCAGATGTTCCAAACTCAATTCAGTAATCTACCAATCAATTCACGAGAAATTCCTGAATTTTACAGATGAACAGACAATCAATCAGAGACGAAACATTAGGGATTTCAGAAAATTCAATCGGTACCTTAAGACTTTCAACGACGCCAGGGACGACCTCGTGCTCCAGACCAGAGTACTCTCCCTCGGTGTTCTCCCTGATGACGACGATGTCGACGTTCTCGTGGCGCGTCGGCAGTCCGGGGAGGTTGAAGCAATTGACGAGCGAGGCGTACAAATCGAGTTCCTTCCGGAGCTGGACGTTGAGCGAGTTCACACCTCCGCCCACAGGAGTCTTCAGCCCTCCCTTGAGGCACACCTTGTTCTTTCGGATCGACTCCAGGACCTCCTCGGGGACGCGCTTCATGTCGCCGTGGATTTCGTACCGCTCGAAGTACACCGGTGCGTGCATCGCCTCCATCACCTGCTCCACCGCGTTCGTCACCAGCGGTCCGATCCCGTCGCCGGGGATTAGGGTTACGGGCCGCGGCGCTCCGTCGCCGGGACGAGGCATGTAGGTCACCGATCGGGCGTTTGGGCGCGGCGTGGGCCGGGCCGTGAGCTGGCGGAGGATCGGGAGGGCTCGACGCGCCATGGATGGAGAGTTAAGGAAGGATATTCGGGATTTCTAGGGTTTTGGTTAAAGATTTCTGTCTGGTTTCAGAGGGATCGAGGAGAAAAAGAAGTCCCAATTGCAGGGAGAAGTTGACATGGAAAGGAAACCAAAACCGCGGGGGTGAATGTGATGTGATTGATTGGTGGAGAAAATAGAAAAAAGTGAGGAATTCAAAGGGCCTTTTTGCAATTATGCCGTTTTTGTTTGGCTAACTTCAATATTTTATGGACCTAGTGTGTCAAGGTCAACATATCAGTTACATAAAAATTAAAAAATGTATAAATTTTTTATTCCTTGATTTATATAAAATTACATAAAAATTAAAAAATATATAAATTTAATGATTAAAAAAATATGATTTATCGAGACGAGACCCTAAGTATATTAAAAAATCTTCTTATTCTATATTCTCAACAAAAAAAAAATCTATATTTTATTATTTTTCTACTAATGGCATAAGAGGTTTAATACGTGCTCTCTGATGAAGGTTCTTAAGATTATGTGCCGTTGATGGTGCCTAATGACCAATTAAATTGGATCGGATCGACTAAGTTCTCTGGTAGGGTTTTCGCCTCATTATTTAATCTTTAATAATGTTAAATATATTACAAGTAAATAAATGTATGAAAAAGAAAATCAATTAAAACATGAAAAAAAAAAAGAATCGAATGATAATAAAGACCAAGTTTTAAGTGTGTCGCAAGATTTTAGCCCCTTTTTTTATTGTTGGAAAAAAAATAGACCAAAAACTTCATTCATACTTGAAAAATTTTCCACCCAAATTTATTCTCATTCATTAAGAAGAAAAAAAGAAAAGGAAAGAAAAGTAGCAAGTAATGTATGTATATCAGTTCGCCGCCAGATGACCAATGTCGGGTGAGGGAAATATCACTTCCAAAAATTTTTTTTTTTTAAGGAAAAAAAGTTTTTTTTTTTTTTTCTGAGGGAGTTGAATTTTTAATATACCAGAAAATATTCACAGGAAAGTGTGCATATGATTAACTCTACTTTGAAAAAACTGAACTTCGAAAGTGGTATAGGGCCCAATTAACATACCAATGTTAAGAGTGCCACTTAGTTTGCTTAAAAGGTATATTTAAATAATAATTTTTTATTTTAACGTTTAAAATTTAAATTTTTTATAAAAAAAAAATACTATAATAAAATTCAGTTGTGTATCATATCATATTATGCATGAAAGTCTTGAATGCCAAGATTCACAAAACAGAAAGTTACAAACAAATGTCAAAAGACTCGGAACAACATTTTGTCAGCATCCTCGGTGAAGTTTGAATGAAGTTGCTGTAACTACGGACAAATAGTGACAGTCACTTTGCAAGTTACAAGGTAACAACCCACGTATTTCCAATAACAGTAATAATTGATCAAGACAGATATTAACTTGACATCCAGGTAATAGGACACTCATATTAAGCTTTTAATTAAATCAAAGAACAGGGAAAGACAGTAAATTTCCAACAACAGAAACTCAGACAAAATACAAGCATGAAGTATCCAAAAACCCGAAAACTGCTCGATTACAAAATTCAAATGGTTACTCCTCTATGTCGTCTCAGACAGCAATCTCATCCAAGAACAATCATGCAGGCCTTCGAAACAAGAAAGGAACACATCCTCCCTGTATCACCAAGTAACAACGACGATCAAATCTACATAGATTTTCCCATAGAATATCTGAACTTCAGATGATCAACCCTTTTAGCATGATCGTCAAATTGTAGGATTCATCAGACTCTATATATAATATCGACGTATATTAATGTGTTGAAGCAGCAGGAGCAGAAGCAGGAGCAGGAGCACCGCCCAAACCCATTTTCTGACCCAAAAGTGAAAGCTGCTCCACAAACTCGACCCCAGTTAGTATTTCTGTTGTTCCATATATTACATGCTTCAAAGGCTGCTGACGCTGAACAAGCTCTTGCAGGCTCCCATATTCCACATAATTACCACCACCAATCATGAATACAATGGCTTCCTTAAAAGGTCCTTTCAAGTGGCTGCTACCAGATCCGGATTTAGGAGCACGAGGGTCGAAAACTAGATAAGAGTCAACTTCTGGGTTCGGCTTCCCCTCCATCAAGGCCTCCACTGTTCTTGTCAATGCTAACTGCCTATCATTTGACAAAAGATTCTTCACTCCTGCTGTCACAGCACTAATTGACTGCCCATAGAGTTTCTCAGCCCAATCGACAATGTTGCTTCGGCTAGCAGAGTTGGCATGTGCCAGCGAGACATTCAGTGATTTAATCTTCTTCACATACTGAAAAGCACTGGTGTCGACCTCGGACTCCCTGAGGGCTGCTTCCACAGCCTCTACTTCTGCCTGATTAATGCTTTCTGAAGAAATAAGATACATGATGGCAAACCTCAACTTATCCATCTTAGTCCCTTTTCCTCTAAGAACACCTAAAAGATCATTGCGATCAATTCCCCCTCTGATGATCATGTCATTCTCCTTTTTCGCATAAGAATCAAGAGACCTCTCCTTGATCTCACCCAACAACACAGTTGCAATGTTTGTGTGCTTATCAATCACCTGTTTCCTCTCAGTCAACTCCGGAAGTGAGTTCACTGCATTCATTAAATGCTTGGTGTTTCCAATCAAGTCAGTGCCCTCAAATTCAGCTCCATCAGTTCCGCCAGTTCTCCTATTGACATCATCAACATCCTTCTTATACTTATTCAGTTGGGTCTCAATCTCCACCGCAACTTCAGGAAATTCCAAAGATCCATTAGCTACCCAAAATGGATCTGAACCATCTAATTCATACGATTTCGTTCCACCCTTTTCACCCGGCACTGTCAACCTATTTAGCTTCAATCCAAGAATATCATGCACCAAAGGTCGGTACCTAAAATCATGCTGTATGCCCACAGATAACTCAAAGTTCCGATCAAATATACACAAAATTGGGCGCTGGAAAGAGCTAACAAAATTCCCACCTTCTGTAAACAAATTGTTTTTTGACAACAAGTGATCACGCAATCGCTGGTCTAATGCTGATGCTACCATCTCTGCAGGACCACCACGCGGACACCTAATAATCGGCACCACTGCAAGAGTGGCCAAAACACAGAACAACCCACCAACAATCTTCTCAATTATCTCCTCAATTTCACGGTCCCCTGCGGACGGATCATTCAGCTGCACATAACTGGACTTCTGTGCCAATGAAAACAAGTTATCCTCCAATGTTACAAACTCCAAATACTGATCATGCACCTTAGCTATCCTGCTAATCGAATCCGAATTCAGAGTCCCGGAAGCTAGATCCTCGAGCAGCGGACGGGGAATCGACGATGAGAAATTGAGGTGGAAGGTATCGTAGAGCGAGCGAGAAGCGTCGGCAATGATCCGCTGGATGTTGGGCGGGGTGGGTTGAACAAAGTAAACGGCAGGAACATCCAGAACCGGTTTTCGGTCCTTGTCAATGAGGAAGTAGAGGGTCACACCGTGTTTGCGAAGATCCTTAACATGAATCAGAGGCGAAAGGATGTTTTGGCAAAATCTATCATAGATCAAGATCTTGTACACATCTTCGTTTGCCGTACCCGTCGCGTTAACGGGTTGGTTCAGATTCAACATACGAATAATACATTCTGAATCCACAAAATCACAAATCAAATTCAACATCTCATACGCATAAAAAAAAAAAAAAATCATTTGCGGATTGACCTATATTGAAATCGTAAAATTATTCCATAAATTGTTTTAATCACGTTTCATATTACAGATCAGACTTGTACCACTCAAATCGTTAATATTTCGCCTGGAATTCATTCTTCGCCGAAAAAACTAGAAATGAAAGGAATCTCGGTTTGAAGTTCTGAAGTCTCATTAGAGTTCATTTGTTGAAGCGTAGATCTACCGAAATCGAGAAGGGGAAAAAAAGGATCCAGAAAGAAAAAGATTCATAATACCTGCTTGCCTTTGACGAAGATTGAGAGCCATGGCTGAGAAATCCGAGCTCAATTCTGGTTCACTTGAAGTTGAAGACGACGCTTTTCAGTTTTTTTTCCTGCAAATTCGGGAGGAGGAAAGGACCCTCCGAGCATAAAATCGAACTCGACGAAGGGTATAGATATAAAAAAGAAAAAGGAAAAGAAAAGAAGAGATAAAAATCTTATGCGGTCAGATTCACATAGAAAATCTTCAATCTTCATAAGCCAATAGTATTTCGCCACGATCTTTTGTTGACCGATGGGTAGATATAAAAAAGAAAAAGGAAAAGAAAAGAAGAGATAAAAATCTTATGCAGTCAGGTTCACATAAAAAATCTTCATGAGCCAATAATATTTCGCCACGATCTTTTGTTGACCGATGGGCTGACCGAGGTTATATTTTGAGCAGTGTGATTGGCTAATAGAAACTTACGTGGCGTGAGTGTGCACCAATATAATTGCACTAAGCACACGGACACGCTTAAAGGCGTACCACCAGTGAAGCGAAGAAGGTGATCAGGTTTGCGTTACAGGGGAAAATGAAGTCGACGACGTCGTTTTTATGCAACAAATACTGGGTTCTGAGGCATGGCAAGAGCATTCCAAATGAAAAATGCCTCATTGTTTCCTCTATGGTTTCTTTCTTCTTTTTTTCTTTTGTTTTGTGTTTATGGCAAAATTTATGTATTTATTTTCTTTTATTTTCTTAAGTTTTTCATTTTGATTCCATGTTGGTATTGTATGGACAGGAAAATGGTACGTGCCCAGAGTATGAATTGGCGTCCAAAGGCGTAAACCAGGCACTATTGGCTGGACAGTTGTTCCTAAAGGCTAGTACTTTGAGATTTATTCACTCTTGCATGATTTCTTTTTTTCTGGGTACTGCTGGGTGTTGCAATTTTTTGGGTAGAAAACTAATTAGATGTTACTCTTTTGGAGGAGCATTTTTGTTGATTTGGTTGGTTCTGCTAGCTGACCATAATTATGAAGAAGATCTAGGCAAGAATGATTTTATTATCTTGATATGTTGGTCTTAAAGAGTTATGGGTTTTATCAGACTCTGAGCCAATATCAGTTGTGTCATGAGGCCTTAGTTGGTTGAAGGGAGGTGTGGAAATTATTGGGTGAAGAAAGGTTTGCGAATCCATCATACATGATTGAGTTGTCTAAATTTCTGTCCTACATCTGAACTGAACTCTTTCTAGTTATTGAATCTCTTTCTAATTGCTCGGGAACGATCAAGAGATTCTCGAGAAAAAATACGGGTTTATGCTTCTGGGATGAAGGTTTGATCTCCTTTTGGGCTTAAATCAACGCGTTCTTAGAAGAAATGTGTGAATATCAATCTTATTGATATCATCGATATTATAAGTATCTGCCCGAATGCTGTCAATCTAATGCCATTTTTTATACAAAGAAATGGTTTTTTTCCTATGTCTAGTGAATACTAGTATTCATATTGCTATAATTCCATTGATGGGTTTTATCTTATCTGGCCATAACAATTATTTGTCGACTTCATCTAGTAGAGACCTGGTTCATTTCTTTTGTGGGCTAACATTAGTTACATGTGCAGCAACTGAAGGAAAATAATATTCCAGTTGAGGATGTGCGCATTTGTTACTCTCCATTTTCAAGAACAACTCACACTGCTAGAGTTGTTGCATCCGTTCTCAACATTCCGTTTGAAGGCCCTCAATGTAAGGTAAAATCCATCCCACACCTCTTAAAACAAAATCATTTTTCATTGCTTTAGCTATTCATGTTTGCTTAATGTGAAATTGGTGCTCCCATTTTTTCTTTTGGCTGACTCCTTAATTCAAAATATCATTCATTTGTAGCCCGGTAAATCCACACCTAACACCACTTTGATGAGTAGAGTTCAAATCCCCCAAGTTCTATATACGTCTGTCCACTCTAAAATATATGTCCACACACACACACATACATATATATACGACAAGTTTTCAATAATTACGTTTTTATGGTGGCTACTCATTAAATACAAAAATTTGATGATGTGGTATGATAAGAATCGTATATATATATGCGAACTTTGAATTACTTCACTGTGACAAATTGTATTATATTTTTTGATGGACAGGTCATAGAAGATCTTAGGGAGCGATACTTTGGTCCTTCATTTGAACTTATGTCACACGACAGGGTAAGCAGTTTACGGATTATGAGTACACTAGTTCAGTCCAAATTGGCGATCAGTTTTCTCTTTCGTTATAAAACAAAAGTTATCTTTAACCTTCTTAATTTTATTTAACTTTTTATGAACAGTATCTGGAGATCTGGGCTCTTGATGAGAAGGACCCATTCATGAGGGCAGAAGAAGGTGGAGAGAGTGTTGATGATGTTGTGTCTAGACTCACAAGGGCTATGGCAGCAATGGAAGCTCAGTTTCAGGGGTAAATTATTCATCTCATTTTGGCATAAGTTAAAAAGGATTCAAAAGTTGTTGTGAACAAGACTGAATAGATTAGTTCAGTTTTTGTGCACTAATCAAATGCTCATCCATCTAAGCACTCTGTTGTTTTAGCTGATGAGTACGGCATCCCAGCATAGCTTTTCATTTTAGTCCATCTGATCTCTGGTGCAAATGCTAACGTGAAACTTACATTTGGTACTTAAAATTGTGAAAATGGTATATTTGATATATTATTATACTTTTTGCTCTATTTCAAATGTTATATCTATCTTGTTGCCACAATTATTTAGTTTTGTAACTTGTAAAATTATACTTTTAACTACAAACAATTTGAAAATAACAATTTTGATAATGATTAAATGAAAACGTCAATATAGCAACCAATAACAATCAAATGCTAAATTTTGAAATTTGCTTTACTTGTGTTAATTTAGCACAGCACACGTCAAATTTTGTACCAAAAGTAGCACTAGATTGGAGAGTGATTTTCCTACTCAAATGCTAAAATTTGTTGTTAGGCACTAATTTAACACTGTATTGGAGATGCTCTATAATTATTATTCTTATGTTTCTAAATACATGTTGACTTCGCAGGTGCACTATATTGGTTGTTAGCCATGGTGATCCACTTCAAATCCTGCAGACAATACTAAATGCTGTTCAGCAACAAACAGAAACAGGACCCATATGGAATGACTTGGAATCAAAAATTCAAGCAGTTAGAATCTCTCCCATATTGTCACAGCACCGGAACTTTGCATTACTGACTGGAGAGCTCAGGGCAGTCATATGAAACTAAGCTGGCTCGCATGAATAAAAATCCCAAAACTGCTTATTAAAAACTTATTGAGTTTCGCATACTAGATTTTTCCCGGGAAATTTTTGCTGAAGATTTTGCTAGCTCACCTGGATGATGACACTTTCTTTATGCGTTGTTATAATAACACTCAATGTAGCGCAAATTCATGATGCTTTATTATAAGCTTGTACTGATTCAAATTCATAAGCTATTAAAGGTAGAAAAAAGAAAACCTATTTCTTGAAGCATAAAGTTCAATGGGAAAAGGCTTGGCCAATATTTCAATTTCCCAAAGACAGCGTCATTGTTCTTTATATTTCACTCCTGAACATGTTTCGATAGTATAAAATGCCAATTATGCAACAAGATTCTTTACCCCCTCTATCAACAATACCCCAATTCATGGGTAAGTTCTGTACAGGAATTTCAGAAACCAATCATAATAATAGCAACATATATTCCACCAGCTGCGGCACAGAGAACATGAGCATCCTTACAGCAGATAAATTCAGATCAAACAACCCACAGCATCCAAGTCAAGCTAACACGTAGGATTGGTAAACTGCCTTTGTCAAGTCAGGCAAAATGCCGGTAACAAGCCTCTGTCGTTAGAACCTTACTTTGATATGATAATAAGCCATCCATCCTTCAATCTCCCACAATTCTCCGCACAACTAATCTTTGGTAAGCCATCTGTGGCCTCGAATCTGATATCCACCATAACTTTGGTCACTGCTGCTCTCTCCCCCACTTTCTGCACTTGTATATCCTGATTTTCGGCGATGCTTCTTTCCCCTAGAAACCCCACTATCGCTAATACTCCCATTCAGCAGAGGGTCATCAATACCACGAATCACCCTTCGAGCAGGAGGCGGTCCAATGCAACTGTCATCCTTTGTTCTTTTTTTATCCTTTTCGTGTTTCTTTATGTTTTGGGAGATCTTATGTAATTTCTCATTGAACTTTGTGATCCCCTTCTCAACTGGCTCCACTGCTTGGGTTACCGTGAACTTCACATCATTCACTATCTGTAATATTAAAATTCAGCAGACGCGATCAGATAGTTATTTTTGTCCATCAAAACACTCTCCAAGATTCAGCACCCAGTTTTAGAAAATGAAGAGGCAGGAAATAGTGCTCCACTATCAACAATACATAGAGAAACTTACATATCCCGTGCCGCCTACAAAAACATCCCGAACACTTTCTCTGATGGTCATACCACTCTTGACATCAATATCAGGAGTGGGAAGGCGAAGCTTTGTTGGGCGTTCGCTGTCCCTAACTTCATCAGGATCTAAAGGACAGTCAACGGATGCATAGTCCCCAAGAACTGCAACACTCCCAGGGAAGCGATCTCCCATTAGCTCATATGGTTTTGCAGGAAACACATACAGGTGAACGATAGAAGCAATGCACATCTGTACTGGATGAACACTGTATTTGTCAAACTTTGATATATTGAATGAGAACAACGTAATCATAAAGCTTTATGTGTAATAGTAAAACAAGTAAATCTCAGCCTCACGCTAAATGATTGTCTTTTAATGCAAGAAAATATCTACCTCTATACAAATGATGAAGTCTTGGACGCTTGACTTGAATTGTAGGCCTTGAGCTATTGGACTTTTGAACAAACCAAAGGCATAAAGAGCAGCGATTGCCACACCTTGCCACCAGGTCAGAAACACAATTGATTTAAAAGTCAGGAACTTGTACAGAGGTTTTATGTGGGCCAATTCATCCTTTGTTACGGCATAGAATTGAACTAGACAATATAAAGCCCATGACTGGCTGAAATTGAGAACAACTGCGATATAAGGATATCTGCAAATAGGAGAGGCGCTACAACAATTAGGTTTTTATGGCAAGTTATACATCATTACCATCTTATTTTCCAAACTTTAACGTCACAAGATTTTATCATATTTGAGATATCTTACCCACATCCCAATTTAAATTCTCCTTCACAATATGTACCAAAGGCTTCAAGAATTAATGCTAACATAGCACTTAAAGCCTTGATTATCATCTGCCAGACAAAAGAAAATACATAAAAGATGTGATAGGAACAAAGAATAAGTTGAAGAACAACGCTAGTAAGTAACAAAAGCTGTTAGAGTGATAGCAAACATACATACTGAACAATTCCGAATTTGATAATCTGGTAAAACCATTGGCCAAGTTTCCATGGTTTTAGGAAAAGGTTCATTGGAAAAGGATGCTTTACAGTTCCCTTTTCCGAACTGGGTTCTAATAGAGGAGTCTTAGCACTGGCGCGGCCTTGCCTTTCCATAAATTCTATAGTTCTCTCCTCCCCACCTTGAAAAAATTAGAAATAATAAACAAAATTAAAGAGGGAAATTTAGTTATCATCAACTAAATCTAATTCAGTAAAAAGTAATGATAATCAAAGTAAAATCAATCCAACCACCCTTTAAATGTTAAAAAATAAAAATAAAAAATAAAAATAAAAACACTAATATGAATCTTCCATCGTGATGCCTCTACAGCAGCATGACACTGAAATATATACATTAGTCGGTCGTATGAGGCCAATAAGAACTGGAGCCTCTAAAGGACTTATCAAGACTTTTAAGTGGAAAATGGCATTTACTCGTTTCCAAAAAGCATTCCAATCCATGTAACCCCTTTAAAACCTGTTAAAAGTATTCAAAAAAGTGATTTTTTTTTTTTTTTGCTCGGAGAAAAAGAGTGATTTTTTTTTAACTTACGAAAAAGTGTGAATTTAAAACTCCTAGTTTATGATAATTGCTTCTTTCCAGAAAATCATCTTCTTATTGCTACAATAATAAAATACAAAGACGAAAAAAATGCCAGCGGCCAGCCCTAATATATTAATACCATCCATTCCGGTAATGTGCAAAGCAAGCAACTACAGAAAACTGCACTAGTGAACTAAAATTCTACTGAAAAGAGATTGTATTTCACATGACTTTTCAATATTAAAAGGAGAGCATGAAAATGACATACCCAAGCATGCTACAAGGTATCTTCCAAAGCAATACATGGCAAAGGATTCATAACAATCCCGAAGTATTCCACAATCAACACTAATAGATGGGTTCACCAATGATACAAACTGTGCATAAAAAAATAAAAAATAAAATTAAGTTAGAAAAGCAGAAGCAATACAGAGAAACAAGAAGCTAGGCGCTGAAACAATATCATGGCACAGCACATTCATCTAAGTTTTGAAAAGAAATGAGAAGGGAAAAGGAAAGGTTAAATAAAGTCAGAAATATGCACATCAGAAAATTATCCCTGCTATATAATCAAACAAAATAAGCAACAACTTCTTGAACAAACACATATGATAAACAAGTAGTTGAATATTCATTTTAAAACCTATCATACCAGCGTAGAGCAAATTGATAATTGATCCTCTAATCTCAAGCTGTAAGATACTATTTATAGGTACAATTTTATTAAAATAATAATAATAATTCTGCGTAGAAATCTCGGATCAAGATTCATGATGCAAATAAGGGCAAGGTGCATTGGTCACCATCACCACCAAAAGATTTTAAATGAAAAGTTCGTTCAATGGAACCTTATAAGAACTTACAGATTCTATTGCATAACAGGGGACCATGAGGATAACTCCAATCAAAAACTTTTGTTCCTGAGCATTGAGAACAGATCAAAGGGAAATAAAACGAAAAACAAAAAGGAAAAATAAGAAAAGCTAAGCATCTGTTTATTAAATAAACATGTATAGTACAGCTACCTCAGGATTCTTGTATGCAGATAGGTGCTCCAATAGAAGGTAAAGTGAAAGGGTAAGAGTGAGGAGTACAAAGCCACCAGCAGCTAAACTTGCCCATGTAGGAGGCGAGTATTCCAACTTGGTAAAAAGAGCAAAATAATCTATTATCTCCATTGGCTAAGCTAACTTCAGATTGTCCACCATTATGGGATCAAAAATTCCCAAACGAAAGCATTAGTGGCTAATCAAGATAGCCAAAAGCATATTATCCTGTTAACACACACAATGAACATTCATTATATATCGTGCAAGTTATAATAAACTGCAAACTTACAAAAACATGTTCAACTCTAAACTAATTACTCACAGCTTATAAAAGGATTCTCAGCCTCAATCCACAGAATCGAAGCAAATGGGTAAAAAAAAAAAGGCTTCTATAAATTTTTCAAAGATTCAAAAAGAACCCAAAAACCAAAGTTGCCCGTAGAACATTCCACTCAATGTACAGCCAGTAATTCATCAGATTAAGCACAATCAAAAGCACAGAAAAAGGGAAAAGCAAATAAAATGATAGCAATACATTAAAACACATATCTCTCCATTAAATTACTCACAAAGATGAGGAAGTTTTAGATTATCTGAAATCTAAATTTAATCTCACGTGCTCTTGAGGCTGAGCAAACATCGTTAAAAAATAAAAAACTAAAAATCTAAGCTCAAAAGTGGGCAAGATTAAGTGAAAAGCATTTCTATGAAAGGTTAATTAATTTACTTATTATAAAAATTTGAGCTAAAATTGAAGAAGAGTTGACCAAATTTCCAGCAATTTACCTACAAGCCAACAGAATTCGGAGAACAAAAGGGTATGATCGGAGAATCAAAGTGCGGGATGGAGAGAGGTTTCGTTCCCAAATCCCAATTGAATAAACCCTAGAAAAACTTTCAATTAAGGAACATCTGAAGGAAGCTCTGAAATCAGGATGGGGACAGCACGTGCGATAATTGCAATAATCTTTTCTTTTTTCTTTTTTTTTCTTTCTATGAAATTGCGACGATCCTTCGACCAAGATTCTCTTGTTTGGTGTATTAATAACTTATATTTTTTAATTATTAAATATGCATATTTTTTAATTTTTATGTGATTTTATATAAATTTGACAGATTAAAAATTTATGTGACGTTTGTTTTAAGGGTTTTAGATCATGATTCTTAATTCTATTATAGTATTTTTCTCTTATAAAAAATTTAAATTTTAAAAATCAGAATCATGAACTATAATTTTAAACTTGTGAACCAAACATCATCTTAATCTACCGGTATGTTATGACGTACCAAAGAAAGTCTATTTTTATTATAAAAAAAAAGAGAAAAATCATTTTTTAAAATACGTATACCGTTTTAAATTTGAGAGTTTACAGTAAGGTAGCAGTTCAATGGTAAGTTATCAAAAAAACAAAGTTTAATGGTCAAATATGTCGTTTATCATTTAAAATTTAGTCGTCTTTAAAATAAAAACGAATGGCTTGTTCTTTTGAGTGAAAAACTCAAAAAAATGCAACTCGAGTTACAACTTTATTCAAATTTATGTTCTTTTAAGTTTAAACTCGAGTTCAAACTCGAGTTTAGGACTAAAACTCGAGTTCAAGTTTCCCCTTCAACTCGAGTTCAGAAACTCGAACTCAAATTAATGAACAGTATTTTTTATATTCTTAAAAATGTTATAACTTTTTCGTTTTAATTCTGATTGAGATGATTTTTTTTCTATGCGTTGACAACGAAAAGACGAATAAAACCCGACCCATATACCTTATTAAAATTTTTCATTAACATTGAGTTTTTATTAAAATATTATCTAAATATAAATTCAAGTTTTGACTCACTCAAACACAAACTCAAAAAGATTCTTATCTCAAACCATAACTCAAATATACACAACCAAACACAAACTCAAGTTACAAGTTCAACTCAAATTATAACTCAAATTTAACTCAAGAATTATACTCAAATTAAACTCCAAAAGAATAAGCCCGAAGTATTGTTCCATCATTTTTAAGAACGACATTCATTTAAACTATCACTATGATGTCGTTTAATGAGAAAAACGAAAAAACCCACATGTCACTGTCAACTGTAATGTTGATAACAGTATAGTGACCTTGTCTCGTATTTCAGTATATCTTGTAGTTTATCTAGAATCTAGCAATAGCCAAAACTCTTTTTTACGGGCTGCTATGCTATGTGGCAGCCCTCCAATTAACTCTTTTTTATTTTTATTTTTTTGTAATTTTTTTTTACATTTCAATTTTTTGTGTGTTTTTTAAAATATGATGTTCCTTATGTGCTCTTATTAACCAAAGCTATTTTCTATAGAATTGTCATGTAGCAGCCCCTCTAATTAGCTCTTTCTTATTTTTTTTATTTTTATTTTTTTGTGTTTTTTATATTTTTATATTTTTGTGTGTTTTTTAAATATGATGTTTTTTATTTTACTCTGATAAGATTAATTTTTTCGTATATGTTCTTATTTTATTTTTTGTTAGTTAAAATAATTTTTTTCGGATGTGTCCTTACTTAAATTTTTCATCAATTATTATCTTTACACATTTTTTTTAAATAAATTTAAAAATCCTTAAATTGTTGTATAAATGAATTTTTTATTATTCAATAAATAATAAACTCTTCAAGTGTCTCTAATACGACAATACGTACGTGCAAAACATATTACAAAACTAGTTATATAGAAAAGAACATATCGTTTTACAGAAACGTTTTTATGTCAATAACGACATGGGTTTTGTAACCCTCTTGTTTGGCTCAGAAAATAGCTTTTACCAAAATTTGTCCCTTTATGTTGTATTTATAAAAATTATCATGTACACACTTTTCTTAGATAATAAACATTGGAACATATCAACATAAATCTGTTCTCTTCTCAACCAAGAAAAAAAGATATCAGCATAAAGTAAAAGAATAGATATAAACGAAAAATTACAATAAAATAAAAATAAAGCTGCTATAAATAAAATAAAAATAAAAATAAAAAACTGAAAACTGAAATGAAGAAGAAAATTAAGAAACAAACAAAACTATAAACGTAAACGTAATAGCTGGAATCAAGCAATTAAGTAATACTGGTATCACATAATATATATATATATATATATATTTTTTTTTTAATAATTGGCCTGAAATGTAGACTTTATTAGGAAGGCAAAGCATATTTGTTTCCATAGTGAAAGCAAATTGCAATACATTTTGCCCAAGCAAAAAAGAAAATTACAATCCACTTTGGCTATAATCTGTTCGGAATTTCAGAGATGCATAAACGAATCTTCTACAGGGTGTTCGGACGTGGTTCATAAATGAAAAATACATATCACCATTAACATCAACAACTTTACTCCGTTCTGTGGGGTGTACAGAATCACTCTACAATACTTTAGTGACGAATGACGATGGTCTCATATTCTACAATTGGCAGCTGCGCATAAAATAAAGTTATCAGGATGCTGATACACATAAAAAGCAAATCCCAAAAGAATGGCAAAAAAGCAAATTTTTGCATGGGTTTGTAGGAATTTTGACAATTAAGGAAGAGAAAGGCCTTTTTCTGAAGGTCCTATAAGTTATTGTTAGTTTACCAATTCATCCCAAAAGCTTAAGCTGTTAGGAGGTGGGCCAACAATAGTTTTATACTTTAACACTCCCCCTCACGTGTGGGCTGGACAATGGGCAATCGTGTGGGTAAATTAATTAGAAAGCCCAACACGTGAATATTTAAGCCCGAAATATATTAAAGACCCAACACATGATGACAATTTTAAATGGGGATAAAGAGTGCAATTACGGGAGTTTGAACCCAAGACCTCCCGCTCTAATACCATGTTAGTTTACCAATCCATCCCAAAAGCTTAAGCTGTTAGGAGGTGGGCCAACAATAGTTTTATACTTTAATAGTTATGCTGGGAAAAAGTTACTCACTGCAGTATACAAATTGGTTGAGATCAAGAGTTCCCCGACCCTGCTTAGCCGTATCAAACGAATTGAACAAGTTACTGCAACAAGAAAAAGACAACAGAAAGCCACTGAAGCAAAGCAGGTTGAAGTTCTAAGAGTGTAATCATTTTGAACTGATCTAGAAGCTAAAACATAAATTTCATGAGTTGAACTTGAAATAAAAGGCCTTATATATGTTCCTCTAATTGAAATGCAGAACACAATCCAATCTAAACTAGGAAACAAAATTGAGGCCCATCGGCAGTTAGTTCAAATTTCAATCCACTACGCAGGCATAATTTCTCAAAAAAGCATGTATTTCTTGCGAGTTCATAGAAAACTTACCGTGCTGACTGCAAAAATATACAAAGAGATATCAAGTCATCTAATCGAAATATCCCATTCTTCTTTTGATCAAAACTCTGCACAAACCAAGAGAGAAATATCAGTCATTTCATCAGTTTGGTCCGAAGCTCTACAAAATGTAAACATGCCACGCATCATAGCACCCAAGAATAGCTGATTATGCATTTCCTCCATAAGATGAAAGTCAGATGTTGTACCTCGCATACAGTGTAAAAAGCCGGAGAGTCCAGCGAGAACCCAATTTTCACCAATGCCTGAGGCCAGTTGTTTACAAAGTTGAGTATCGAGCAAACAAATGAGTATCAAGAGGAAGAGCAGTAAGGACAAGAAGCAACATGAAAATTCACGGAAATTAAGTTAAAACTTAAAAAGACGCAGTATAGTTAAAACTTAGAAAGACGCAGAGACGTGAATATAAGTAGTGAACAAATCATTGTCATTGCTTCCAATGGCTAGTAAGAAAAGTATTACATTCAGTTCCAGCATGGAGAAGAACACACAGAGTTAAAAATCTACCTCATACACATCATCATGAACAAGATAACCGCGATCCCTGGAAACCCAAAAAATGAAAATTAAATCCCGGCTTGTCAGCGAAAGACTGCCGTTGCTCTAAAAGAGAATAAAGTCCCCAATCACTTTGTAAAACATACATGATAATTTAACCAATCAGAAATTAGTCAGAGATTACTTCTTCATTTTCAATACCAAGGCTTGATTTGAACAAGCTAGAGTTATCATAAATAAGAGTGCAAAGTTCACCTTTCAAAATCCGAAAACCCTTGTTGAACCTGCAAGTAAAGATAATTATCTTCTCAAAATATTCATAGGCAAATACAATACACGAGATGGCAATTTCTAACCTTGAGAAGAAACTTGTTAAGCGCAACGAACTCTGAGGAAAAAATTAGGCGAAGTTATCATCCATAACAATATGCTCAGGAAATTAATATAACTAAATTAATTCAGTTAGCGAAGTGGATTAGGTAAACTTGATCTCAGACCAAAAACACACTCACCATCGAAGCTCATCGTTCCATTCCTGTCGAAATCATACATCCTACATTAAAAATAAAAAATAAAATAAAAAAAAATGCCAAGTTCATCAATTTTTCAACAGTTATGATCAAGCGTGTATTACTTCGGAAAATTTAAGTATTATGTGATTAAGGTGGGAAAATCCGGACCTGATCATTTGCTGAACAATGGAGATGGGGAATTCGAGGTTCCCAACCGCGAGAGCTTTCTGATCAATCGCAAATTTGGTTACTGATCAAAGAAATCATTGAAGAAACCTCAAAAGAAGAAGTAGAAGAAGAAGAAGAAGACACCTTGAGTTGAGAGGCCGTAATATTTCCGGTTTTCTCAGAATCAACAACCTCAAACCACTCTCTCAGAATCGTCGTGTTCTCCATTTCCTCCGCAGCTATCAACTGATCAACGCGGATTATTTAACGATGAATTCACACAAATTTTTTTTCCCCTTCCCTTTTTTTATTTATTGGCGTTAAATGGCGTCGTTCGTCGTTGACTTTTATTTTTCATTCCACGCGTTGGGAAAAAAACGACGTCGTTTTTTCCCTCCATTCTCCCTCTTATAATAATGTGCTGAGATTAGAATCATTTTCGATTTACGGCCTCGTTCGTTTCACTGATTCGAGTTTTACTACAGTAAAAAGCTCTCATAAACAGTCACATCTAACTTTTTTACTACAGTAAAAAGCTCTCACATAAAATCACATCTCAACTTGAATTCTAAACTCGAATCAGCGAAACGAACGAGATTTTTTGTGAGATAAAATACTATAACGAATCATGAACCATGATTCGAATTAGGATACGAATCCCCTTACCAAATGTCACTGTTTGAGCTCATTTATTGGTCAAGCAAAAGTTTTTAACCTTTATATCTACATCAATTTTGTTAACTATTATAAGTTTTTTAGGAATAGTTATACTATATGATAAAATTTTATACCTTAAATTCAAAATTAACAAATTTTTTAAAATATTATAAAAATAGTAAAAATTACGTAGCAATTTATCACATCACATTTTTACTATATAATTATAGTCATTATTATTCTTATAATAGTCTTAAAAATTTTGCAATATTTCAACTTTACCATTTAAATTTTGCTGCACTGTAAAAGAGCCCAATTTTTGTGAAATCTAATGCTGACCCTGATATGATACTAATAACTGTATCATACCAACAGGTTATTTTTTTCATATCCTACCACATAATTTTCCTTTTTATCTAAGATAACTAGTCCTAACAGTGAGTCATACTAAATTCCATTGTGGCAAAAAGAGAAAAATATACGGAAAGATTACTCAATTACTTGGGTGTCGCACATTACATAATCTTCATTCGCACTAGGATTAAGCACAATCACAGGGCATAGCCTTTAAAGGTGCAAACAAGACACGCAAGAGAATGTCATGCCCATCAGAGTTATGGTTTTACTGTTCTTTAGCTCTCTTCCGTGCTAGGAAGCGTTCTTTAGCTGCTGCCAGAGCGTCTTCAGTTCTTTTATGATGTTCGCGCTTCGGTTGCTCTTCTGGTGGTTCCTTGACTGAAGAATTTTCCTCCACCGCCACCGGTGTGTCGGAAACTGGCTTCACGTCAGGATCTGAAACTGGCTTTGGATCAGAGGACTCAGATGGCTGCTTTCTAAGAGAAGTTTCACTTTGATGTTCCTCTCTCACTTTAGACGATCCCACCGATGAATGTGAGTTATTGACAGACCGATTTCTATCCAATGCTTCTGCAGTCGCTGCATCACCATGTTTGTCTGGCTTCCTCAATTCTTCTACACGCCTCTCTTGTTTCCTTGACTCGATGTCTTTTGCACCAAATGCTACATTTTTTCCAAGGTTGAAGTAAAAATCGCTCAAGTCAGTCTTCTTGGTAACCTAAACACAACAGAGTGAACATAAATGATATTAATAATTCTTGTTAAGATACAAGAGCTAAAGAGAACACATTGCATTTTTTGGAATTTCAATAACAAATCTTATCGGATTGCCAAAAATCAACCAACCAGCTTCTCCAGTTGGTGCGTATGCATTTTACCCAAATTTCAGTTGACATGTCAATAAAGAATGAATCTTGAAAACAAGTGAATAATTCCTTCTTAAGATAACACCTTGAATCCACTTATTTTTGGACATAGGTCAGTAGAAGAGCCTTAAAGTGTCACCAGCTCGATCAAATCCGTCACCGGTAACTGCATACAAATCAAGGAAATGTGTGTCCAAGGATACTCATCCCAACCCCCACTTCATCCTAATCTAGCTTATCAATGTTGTCAGACAGCTTCAATGCACTCATCATATGGATGCTCGAACCATTTCTTTTTCATATATAAAAGTATATCAACAATGAAAGGAAAATTAGGGCAACACTTCCTGGAAGAATGTATACATACATCATCTTTTTCTTCTCGTCGTTGACGCAAACGTTCTTCCTCCATCCATTTTGCTTGCTCCGCAAGTTTCTTTTTGTAAGCACTTGTAACAAATTTGTCCTTATCTGCGTAGAGGTGGTCCTCTTGACTTCTCTCTTTGGCGAGTTTTCTTTCATATACTATCTCTTGCTCCCGTTGTCGTTGTTCTGCTTTTCTAAGAAGATTCTGAATATATTTTGGCTGCAATAGAAAAGAGTTGCTACAATTACATTCAGGAAAATTACAATTGGACCAAACTAAAGAGGTGAAACCCACTGTTTTTCTCACCATAAATGAAAAGGCTGAACTATAAATATAAAATCACGTACATGGGCATGAAAGTAGGATAAATGAAATTCGATAATCCAAGAGTTCTATAAAATGTTCTTGCTGGAAAAAAAAATGTGAATGAAAGGTTCCATTGGGTTCAATTGGGTCATGAATCTAAGAATAGAGAGAACTCTTGATCTCTCTCAATTTTCTCTCAATTCAAAAACACAGGATTTGAATTGATGTCTTTTTGTTAGATTAAGTTCTCCTGGGTTGCATTTGTCTACTCACTTTCCCTAACTCTACAGATTCCATTTCAATTGGAATTTATAATATGTTTGTTTCATTGGTTTAAACCAAAAAGTTTCGGTTCAAACTTTTTTTGCTACGGAGTATTATTTAACAAAAATTTTAAATAATTTGAATTCAAACCAAAACTTTTGGTTCAAATCTACTAAACAAACACATGCTTGGTTATTAACCATGTGACAAGTTTAACAGTCTTAAGATCATAACTATTAGTATATTCCCTAAACTACAAAGCACCATGAACCAGGTCCTAAGAGTTAAGAGAGTAGAAAACAAGGACCGGTACCTTTCTCTCTTGACGATCTTGTGCCTTAGGTTGGATGGTTTTTGCCTTCATTTCATCATAAACTCCGTCATAATCGAAAGCTGAGGGGTCCTCTTCCAGGGCTTTCCTCTGCTGCTCCTCAATCTTCAAAACACAAAAGAAACAGAAAGAAAAGGCATTAAACCCATGGGAAAACAAAAGGTGAACCTTTTTCAAACGGAGCAATTTCACTTCAAAAAGAGGTTATGAGTCAGAAAAAATACTGACTTCCTTGAGAGACTTATTCTTCGAAGCGTGGCGAGAAATCTCTTTCTCGACATCATCGTCATCGTCATTGCCAAAACCTAAAGCAGTAGGAAGAGGAGGCCTCGCGGGCTGCTTCTTTTGCTGTGGCCTAAGGTTCAAACCGTACTTGCTCATTTTCTCTTATTCCCTCTCAATGCACCTAACTCAGCAAATGGCAATGATATGTTTCATGAATGCATAGGAGTTAAAAATTCAAAATTTGTAGTATTAGAAGTGGTAGAATATGTGAAACTGAAACTACCGTTTTGTCTCAGCTTTTCTACCCCTAACAAGTTATACTTTGTTTTTCTCATGATGTGGAATTGTGTACCATTTGCCTTCAAAAAATAAATAAATAAAAACAAAAAAAAAAAAAAACAAAAAAAAAAAAAAACAAAAAAAAAAAAAAACAAAAAAAAAAAAAAACAAAAAAAAAAAAAAACAAAAAAAAAAAAAGACAAATAAGAAAGCAGAAATTGTAAGAACACCCAATTGATAATGAGTTACCGCCCCCACAAAAATGACAACCAAAAAAAAAAAAGAACTCCAATTATGACAAACAATAAGAAGCTCTTATATTATATAGATGACAAATTAGATTAGAACATTTCAAATTAAAATTATATTGTCATCTATCAAGATATTTTATCTTTAATACTTAATTTGAACTAGGATCATATTTATCCCTAGATTATTCCGGATTTAGTTAAGTTTCTTAGTAGTTTTAGGTTTGTATAAATACTAAATTGATTGTAATTTTGATACAAACTTTTGATGATTCATTAATGATATCGAGTTTCTAGTTCTTCCTCTTATGTTCTTGCTCCCCTTCTATTTCTATCTCTTCTTGGTTCGATTTCAGTGCCCTCTTAAGGATAAAGTAATAAAGGCAATTACCTAAGGCCCCTTGTTAACTAATTATCCATAAAAGTCTCAAAGTATTGAAATTAATCATAAAAATTAGTTTTTTTTTTCAAAAAAAAAAAAGGGCCTCGGCTTGATTCCCTATTATTTGCAGGACTGTTTTTTATGTTTCAGATAAATCTCATAAAAACATGAACTAGTATTCTCAAGCCCAGAACCCTAATCGGTGACTAATTGGAATTAATAAAATCAAACCATATAATTGAAACCAAAATGCAACTCAGATTTTTAGGACTGAAAATAGGGATTTTCTTAGGGTGTTTTTTTTTTTTTTTTTTTTTTTTGTAAAATCAGAATGCAAAAATAGATTTCATCACACTGAGAACTGAAATGAAGAAGGAAATACCAATTCAATGTGGAAATTTGGGATTCAGAGAAAGAGGAAACACTACCTCAACTCCTTTCTCCAGAGAGTGTCGCTGCAGAAATTGGCCTTCTACTCAGTGGAAAGCTCGGTGGTGAAGCCCAGGAAAGAACGACTCGATTCTGCTTTCGTAGAGAGAGAGAGAGAGAGAGAACTCTGCGGGAGAGAAGGGGGTAGAAGGAGAGAGCGAGATGAAAACGCCAAATATAATTTTATATAAGAGTTTTTTATTGTAGAAAAAAGTTAAATGTGACAATTTTTAAGAGCTTTTTACTGTAACAAAACTCAAATTTTAAACTCGAATCGGTGAAATAAACGGGACCGTAAACATCTCTTCAAATAAGTGTAAACAAGATATAACGAGTGCGTTTGAAATTGATTTTAAAATAATTTTATTTTCAATGAAAAGTAAAAATGAGATTATTTTGATAATCATTGTGAGACCAATTCTAAAATTGCGTTTAGTTTGTTTTTTAAGAAATTATTTTGAGTATGATAAAAAGTGAAATCGTATTTATTAATTAATATATTATAATATTATTGATAAATACTATAAATAAAAACAAAAAAATAAAAATAAATTTCAATTGTTTTCTAATTTCTTCACAAAAATCATTCTCACTGTTTTCATTTTCAAGATATTTACTAAACAAATGTCATTTTATTTTCATTTTCATTTTTTACTTTTCAAAATACGTGAAACCCGTTTTCAAAAATAGTTTCAAACAAGCACAACATCTTTCTTACAGATTTCTTATTCAGATAAGTCAATCTTTCATATTTTCTTTTTAATTTTAGATGGAAAAATAAGGTGAATGGCTATTTTTTGACCATTTTTTTAATTAATGGTCCAATTTTTTATTTTTTAAATAAACAACCGAATTTTTTTATTCTAACAAAATAGTAGTGATTGGCCAATTTATTATTATAATTTATCATTAATAAACATGTAATTTTTTATTAAAATTGATTAATTACTAATTGATTTTGATTAATTATTAACTTTATATTGATTAATAATGAAATGTTATCGAGTTAATTAGTGATAAAATTAAGTCAATTAGTGATTAACTATTAATTTAGTGATTGACCAAAGTTAATAAAAGAAAGATAATTTCTCTGGTGTTTCCTCAAAAATTGGTGTTCCCTACTTATGAGCTGCCAAATTTATATTAGTTTTTCAATTTAATTTAATTTTTTATTAGATTTAATATAAATTTAACGTTTAATAAGCATGAATACTAATGTCCTAAAAAAAATACCAGAAAAAGTCTATAAAAAAAAGTCATTTTGCTAAATTATTTTCCAAAAGATAGGAGATCCATCTTTTGTTAGATTCTATTATTCAGCGTTCTCGGAAATACATTATCCAAGTTATAAATTTTAGGAAAACAATATTATTTATGAAAAACAAAAAAACAAAAGGGCAATTTTTGTAATTTTGCCCAAACAATGACGATAAACTTCACTTTCTATGTTAGCAGCACGAGCTGGATCAAATTTTCCGTCTCCCCCTCCCCCTTTTTTTTAAAAAATAATAATAGTATAAATTCCCATAATATTTGAAGTTTGAAACCATAAAATATGGTTGCCCATGCGATTTGCATACCCAACAAATTGGGTTCTTAAAAATTTATAATAAAGGAAGATATATATATATATATATGTGTACACGCTTTCAAACATAAACATATACGTATGATTAATTCTTACAGAAAGAAAATGCAGAAAAGACATCATTATAGAAAACTAGAAAACGTAGTTGAGAACATACACTAACGAGTCGAAACAAACATTCCGGGTCTAGCTCGCAGCTAAAAAACAAGCTTTAGCAACAAAAGAAAAAACCCATTAAACTTGCGGGTCTTTAATGATTTTTAAGACTAAAATAGCTCAAAAACTCAGAAACCAAGGAGAAATTCAGCTGGCTCAGCTTTAGCTGCGAAGCCAAATTTTCTTGTGTTGTATTTCCTATATACTCCAGTGAGTTTCCCCTTTCCAGCATTTTGATGGAAAGCAACCATCAATCTTGAGCATTCTCTGCAATGCATTGAGAAGAAAAAGAAAACATAATCAAATAATTGCAACTTATAGCAAAACATAATCCACAAGGAAAATGAAAAAAGAAAAGAGAGAACTCACAGGAGTTGGTCTTCCGAATAATTAGTATACCACTCGCTGGTCTTGCTCCACTGCTTCAGCCTACAAAGACTACACTGAGCGGTGTAGATCGCCGCGGCAGAGAGCAAAGACGGTGGAAACTTGAGCATTTCGTTCTCCACCAAGCATAACTCCACAATGAAGGATGACAAGACTTCAAGCTGATTAAAATCCACAAGGGGCAGTCCTTAAGTAAGCGTTTTGCATTTTGTCATGTGGGATTGATTGGATTGAAAAAAATTGCTACAAACCTTTTTGTTTGATTGAACAGCCTTAAGAAACCTCCTCATGAACACAAATGGAGTAGGCAAAGAAAAGTTGAATTGCAAAGTATTCACCATTAGTTTCTCCTGATCAAAAAAAAAAAAAAAAAGGGGATATTCACCATTAGTTTCTC